GGTAGGAGCTGTTCTGCTGCAGATACACGATCTCGGGTTGACATGCCTACTAAAAGTACACTCAAAGGATACAGAAAAACATTTTTTCTTTTTCTATTTGGGCACGGATACTCTTGTTTTCAAGTCATTTCCTTAAACACACATTTCTCACAGTCTATAAGCCACAGTTATGCCCTTAATGCAGATAAAAAAATCAAGAGGGAAACAAATTAGAGGCCAAAATGTGGTTCAGGAGAGATACATACAAACTCCAGTGCTCTACAGCTTGCCATTCCACCCTCATCCTCTGTTTACATTTGACTGTTATCAATGTATTTGCAAAAGCAACTTGGATGCCTGTGGAGCTGTCAGTCAAACAGAGATGACATTTTCATAGATTGGCATTTCATGTACTGACATTTTAAATTTCAGTTAATGACATTTTTGAGAGAGTTAGTCACAGTGCTGGCCAGTGCCTCATTAACTTTCTAAATCTGGCACTCTTGCACACTGCTTCATGAAGTGCCTCCTCCAGAAGACAGTTTCCATCTGCTGAATTTGGGGCAGAAGACTAGCAAAAGATAAGCAACTAAGAGACTGCTGAAAGGCACCATTAGGAATTTGCATACTCCTGCCATTGGGTATTTATTTCATAATCATTCATGTTTAAGTCCCTACTTTTTACAGTCAGTCCAGTTTATGGCCTGTCTTAAACTTGCTCAGAAATTATAAGGCATCTATCAGAGCATTCAAGCAGTTTATTTGCCAAAATTAGTTCTTTCTAAGCATAGCCATTAACAGGACACTGGTTAAATCCCTTATATATATATATATATAATTATTTATGGAGTTTTCATTGGTCTGTGCATACTTTGCAAGGGATTCATTTAATGTAAATTTAACCATCCAGGAATTAAGCGTATCGTCATCTAGAGTCCCTTCTACCACTGGTGAGTCAGGCGCTTCCAGAGGCTGATTCATCCCATTCCAACGTGCCCATCTAAGAAGGTAGCCTGGCTGCAGCAGCCCCTCACAGCGCCCTGCGTGCTGCCTCCACCCGTCCCAGGGTCACAGCCTGGCGTGGCAGCTACCTGCTTGGAGGTGCTGCTAGTGTACACAGTTATCCAGACTGTGCCACGTTAGAACAGGCATTGCTGTGCTTGTGGGGTGACCTGAGAACTGGTACAGCTAAAAAATAACCTTTCTCAATCTCTCTCTTTTTTTTTTTTTATTTTTTTTTCCTGGAAAACATTTCAGCTTAGCAAGTTCTCTGATTCATTTCACCAGCAGCCAGGGTGGCAGTGAGCAGCTGTGAACTAGGATGGGGCTGGTAGTGACTGCGTTAATTGGCTTCCGCAGCGTAACCGTCAGCTAAGCTGACGCACCGCAGAGCGAGATGACTGTGTGGGGGCAAGGTGACTTTCTCTTTTAGTGCCCCAGAGAATGTGTCTTTACTCATAGCACACAGAGCAGAGACATTCCTAAAAGCAAGGAATTGATTGATTTAAAGCAAGCTTTTGCTTTTCCAGGGCTTTTTTGGGTGGGGGCAGTCTCCAGGTTGAGGTTTTTCTGAGTATTTTTAGACAGATGCACCAGGAGGGCACAGTGTGAGAGAGCATCTCTTGAGGCAGATAAACTGACCCTTTGAAGCCTTTTCTAGCCCTGTCTCTTTAAGACTTTTGATCCCATTAACTTTAATAAGCTTACACTGTGTGCTTAAAGCTAAACTAGATAATTTGTTTCTGCTTTTCCACTCTTTGTAGAATGTAATATACTATATCAATTGCTCTTAGTAGAGTTTCTTTCAAGTTTATTAATGCAGGTTTTTCTTCCTCTCACATAATACTGCAAAGAGTTTATTACTACTGCCCGGTGTGCAAGCAGGTCTCTTCCATTTTAGACTGACAGACAGGAAAAAAATGAAATTGCAGCGACCCAGGAGGAGCTGGATGTTAAGCATCAAGAGCTTGTGTCATCAAGGCAAGGGAGCGGGGAAACAGTCACTTCCAAGTCTCCGAACAGCACTGAACTGAAGCAGCAGCTGCAGAAAAGTGGGGATCCAGAAAGTCCCCATCATCTTTTCAGAAGGACCATGAAACACAGAGTTATGTCTGCAGACAACCTCAGAAAAATTCAGGCTGACAGGTGAGTGAAGCACAAACAGGATGAGTTTAGTGGAAGATGCTCGGAGCTGTGAAGCAGCATCTGAGCATTGTGTTCAGAATCCACTTACTCTGTAGGGCTCACATAGCAGCTAAAGCCATTTTCCTTTACTGAGTAGGATAAGGTATATAAAGGCCTCAGAGTTTCTTTCTTTCTTTAATAAATTTTATTTCTGCCTCTAATCTAGTGCCCTGATTTATAGAAATACCAGAAGTCTTCCATTTAAACTACAGATCTGGGAGCTGAGCATGCAGCATATGTTTTTCTGAATACTGACTTCTGTCCTTTAATGTTATTTCAACAAGGGACTTAAAGAAAATCCCCACAGAAATGAGGAAAATGCAGCTAAAATACAAATAGCATATGCACCAAGAAATTCAACAAGCTGAGTAAGCCTGTGTACTTGTAAAGATCAGGTCAGGGCTGAATTGGAGTATTTTGGCACCCACTCCATACACAAACTCCTCTGCATCGCAGTGTCTCATCTGCTTCCCATTCCTTCTCCCCTACCCTCACGTTCCCAGATCCGTGTAGCTGCCATTATTGCAGAGCAGCAGCCCTTCCTCCTGGTGGCAGCTCAGCCTGGCACAGCACGGACGTATTTGTGCCCCTTTACCTTTTCCTCAAACTGCGCCCAGTGCAGCTACGTTTTTTTACAGTTAATTACAAAATTACAGTTGTGTTTCTTTTGGTTCTTCCTGGCAGGCAGTACATGAGCGATGTTATTACAAGCACTATGACAAAGATGCAGGAATCAGGAACATTTAATAGCTTACCGGAAGCTAATGAGAGAGAGAAGGAAAAGAAGATCAAGTTGCGTGACATCCTCATCAGGTTAGAGTTGTGTTCAGTACTTTCCTCCTTAATTGCTCAGAGCCAAATCCCATTACTCCTCGGAACACACTGAATTATTCTGACTACTTTACAAATTGTTATTTCTTTCCCCTTCAGGGAAAAATAACTGATGGTTCTGGTATTGACCTGAGAGAGGAATTGCCTGGGCTTTCAACACAGTAGACACCAGTGTTTGCATTAGTGCAAATGCCAGCGCCAAATCAACTAAAATATAATGTGATGTAGGAGTCCCTGGGTCTTTAGATTAGTGCAAATGCCAGCCCCAAATCAACTAAAACATGTGATGTAGGAGTCCCTGGGTCTTTAAATCCCATCCCCAGTGAAAGCCAAAGCAGCAGAGAATTTATCCAAACCAAGGCCAACAACATATTTTTTTTTCAGGTTATGTGATGCCCAAGGCTCTCTGCTCTGGCCCATATGCTGCCATGCTTTACCCTGGCAGGGAGGAGTGTCACAGATGGTGACAAAAGGCAGTTGTTTTATTTCAGACTAATCCACCAGCCACCACACTATAGATTCTCTTTCATCCCCAATTTTACAGGATACAGATTTCTTACAATCTGAACTACAAAGCAGGGACTCCTTAGCCTAAAATTCTGTGCACTAGATTTTTTTTTTTGGCATGGGAAGTTCTGGTTCGATCCCTGCCATGTCAGAAGAAATAGGAACCATCAGAGAGGTACCTTTTACCATTTTAAAGCTACTTTGTTCTATATAGCAGTCCAGGCCCATCCTTTAGGGTAGACAGCAAAGCTGCTGCATGACATGATTTGCACAAATCCAACCTACTTCAGTTTCAAGTAAAGAGAAAGCACCTCTTTGCCTGTCTGCACCAGGGCTTCCTGTGGAACGACTCCAATGTTAGAACATCCATATAATTTAGAAAATCCCAAACAGTCAGTTTAAAATTCTCAGATCCATCAAAGGATATGGGTACTGTAAGCTTCAGACCAAAACATAAGCATAAAAGTTTAATAAAAAAACAAAACAGTGAAAGTAAAATAAGAAAATAGCAGACCTAGAACATTCTTGCAGCAAATTACTTTTAAATAGGTAAATATCTTGGTAGCTTTTGGCCTGTGCTTCAGTCATATCCCTTGATAGATCTGAGAATTTGAGCCAGAGATTTTTTTAATCTGTGCAAAATTTAAGTTTGCTGTAAGTGAAAAAAAACACCCCAACATTCTCCATACAGATAATAGAGCTTACACAGTTTAGCACTATCTGCTGATTAGGCATTCTTCTGCAGAGAATCTGAGGGATTTTTGCCTGGAATATATGAACTGTCACCTAATAATCACTTTATGATCAACTATAACAATGTCCCTCGCTTCTATAGGAAGCGCATCATCCTCAAGTCTACTCCACGTGTGCAAGAAGAACATCCCCTGGTTTCTGGTTCATTCTGCCTTTCAATCCCATCTTCTTTGCTCAGTCTCTGCACCAGTTCTTTCTGAATTTACTTACCAAGTCACCAGCTTTCATGAGGAATCTCAGTTTCTGTCTTCCAGATGTGCTGCCCCCATATGGCTCAGACTGAAGAGATTAGTGACTTTTGTTTTGCTACCAAGCCATGGGAAGTGACTTGTCCTGTGTTGTTCCTAAGAAGCAGGCCAAATTTTTGTGTGCACTGTTTTAGTTCAGCTGTAACAAACTCTCAGGGTAAGCAGATAAGTGTAGTAGAGTTCAGCGAGGTGTAGCATGGAGACCAGAAGTTCCCTAAGCAACAAGCTCTTGTCTTTCTTGCTCTCTTCACATTGATTCTTTTTCCCATTTTCCTTCAGGGAGGAGGAAGGAAAGAAGGAGATAAAGTCACTCCAGCAACAGCTGCAAGATGTCAAGAAAGAAACAGAAATGGAACTTCAGGTGAGATTGTTTAACATGGGGCAGCAAGCCGGAGGGGAAGCATGTTTGTAAGCTTCCCCCTGCTGCCTACAACTAGCACCCAGATGAGAGGACATGTGGGATATAAACAATCCATCATGTAGGAAAATAGAAGCAGAACCACCACAATAAATACCTGTGTTCTGAATATGCTTGTTAATGACTTTAAGAGCCCTGGTTTACAGCTGGGAGCTCAAAGTGTGAGCTCAAAGCTCTCTCATTTGGAATCAGGATACTCAGCAGGGAGTGGCACAGCCCTGGCATGAGGGCTGCTACGTCTGCAGTCAGAAAGGAAGAGGTTAGCTATAGATAGCAGTATCTAGGATACTGTGAGGCTTATGGATATAGATATGAAACCCCCACAGAAAAAAAGTGTGAAGATGAGAGAGTGAGAAAGAAATAAAATGACAGAGCTGGAATAGGGTCAGGCTGTATTTTTCTGTCTGGAAATTTTGTCTAGAGAAAAATTCATGATTTTCATATATTTTTACAGACCCCCAAACACAGGAGCTCTCCACAAGAGCAGAGCAGTGTTGCTGCACATACAGTGTAAACTTTATCTTTCTGGAAAGCTTCAGCCCTTCTGTCTGCACTGTGGAAGTGGTCTATGTATGCACAGTAAATCTGGGTCATGCTAGACAGGTCAGACTTGCTGCACAAGAGCAAATCAATTGAATGGCAAGTCCTTAGTCCATTTGCTGCTTACCAGACAGCTCAGACTCCTGCATGCATGTGCTTCAGAGCACAAGCACCCCAGCTCTGTATGGAAACAGAAGTCAGCTTGGCCCTGCTGAGACAGGGAGGAGTGTATGATAAAAATCATGCAAAAGAAGGGCAGGTCCAGAGTACACAAGGCTTGAAAGAAGGAACAGAAATAGAACACTTGATTCAGTAGTGATTAAGAGGAGAGCAAGGACATCAGCAGAAAGAACTGGCATCACTGAACTTTGTCTTTGGATAAAAGAGCAGACAGTAGTCAAGCCAGAATATAGTTGGCTTCAAAGAGGAATTTTAAGTCACTGATATGCCGGTGAAATACAGTTTATAGAAGATGAAGGTTTTGTGTTGGCAGCCGGGATGCAAGTGTAGTGGAAAGTTTAAATAACAGGATGGTTGTAAGAAGGGAAAAGATCTACTGGCACTGGAAACATATGCAGATATCTAAAACTGAATAAACACCAGAACTGCAGAAGAGACACTAGAATAGCAGAGAAGAAAACAGGAATGCACAGAATGCAAAAACAGGTTTAGGTCAGTCATCTTCTACTAGTGGAGTTGTGGAAATGCATAAAATATAGCAGGAATTGTAGCAGGGTGGAAGGAACCCTGGAGGATAACTGTACATTAACAGATAAGGAAAATAAAAGTCATTGAAGGCAAGATAAAGTTGGCGAGTTAGGAGATAAACCAAGAAAGAGCAGTTGTGGGAGCTGAAAGAGAAATGAAAGCTAAAGGATTTTTATTAGAGATTTGAACATTTTGAGCTTGGCAAAACATCTAAAAGATGTACAGGTCAAAGCCAGGACTGAAAAGGAGAATTGTATATGTACCTCAACTTCTACGTACCTACTGCCAATGGAAATGGGATGGGATCCTCTTTATAGGCCCTATAGGACAAAACAGAAGTTCCTTAACCTCTGTGCAGCAGTTAAATGAAACAAGCTGAACAGTTTGTCAAACTCAGAGACTGTGTTTTGTCCCTTTGCTTGTGCATGTTGTCCCCTCTCAGTCAGATGCCAGGGAGGCTTCCTGTGCACAGCACAACCCTAAGGGGCAGCCCTGGCCTCCCGCTCCCCAGGCCAAGGAGCGGGAAGAGGCTGCTCTCCATTCGTGCAGGGTTCCCAAAATTATCTCTGCATCCAGCATATGCAACCACCTGTTTTTGGTCCTGTTTTAATACCTTTCCAGGGGCTGCCGTGCTAGAGGCTGTAATGACCCGACTACCATGTCACACCACAGTTATAGGAAGATACATGAGCTCCAAACAGAGTTGTTCTTTTCTCTCTTCTTTTTAGCACCTTCTGCTAATTTGATCCCTGTTTTTTGCTTCATCAAGTGAGATCTGCATTCATATGGGGTATTTTTTTTTTTAATGTTTCCAGGTGAAAAGGCCTTCTCTGGGCTTTCTTATAGTTTCAGCTTTGATAACAAATCAAAGGCAGGACTACTTTCAAGTATTGCTTTCCTCCTGTGCCAAAAAATAATGGTGTCTCTCTGTGTCTTCCAAAGGAGAATAATTTCTATTCCTTTCATATGGGATTGTCCCAGAGGCAGTTTTACTTGCGTGTTTTGGCACCTTGCCAACTAATTAAAAACCAAACCAAAGTTTGCTCATTTTGGAGAACCTTGAACAACAATTATATACAGACCTTTAGACAAAAACCTACATGGTTGTCTCCAGTCTACTAGAGGAGGAAACAAAAGCAAGTAAATCTCATCACAGAACCAGAGAAACATGGTCATTGTTTCACCCATGTTGCTTGTATGTTTGTATATTCAGCCTTGCAAACTAATAAGGCAAAACTAATTACTGCTGTATTCACCAGCTCAGCTCATTTTTTCTCCTCTTTCTAGTGAAACTCAAATGCCAAATGTTTGTATTTATTTTGTTTTCTTTCCTTTTGGATAACACTGATCTCTCTGAAGGTGCTGAAATTAACAGGCTGGTTGGTTTTGTTGTTTCCCTTCCATGTGTCCTGGAGTGTCGGCTGGTAGCTCTAATTTGACTGCATGGCTTCTTTTTGCAGCTCATTTTCTAGCTGGTACAAGATTCTTTTAGGTTCCTGAGCAAGCAAAATTATATAGGTGAACATAAAAAAGTCTCTTATATTAAACCAGAAGCTGTGTAGCTCCTATAGGTTTGGTGGTATACTCATACCACATATATATGCAAGTTACGGTATCATTTTACAGTCGGTAGCTTTGCAGGCTACATACAGGACAGAAAACCAGAAGAGTATACCAAGGTACAGGGAAAAAGGATGGAAATGGAGCTTCTACTCCCTATGAGCTCTTACAACCCACCCAGCTCCCCTGTGCCCTTCCGTGGTGCTGCCAGGGCGATGTGTTTGTCTCAGGCCCTGCAGGGGCCCAGGTGTGTGCAGTGATGAGGCATAGGGAGCTTTTTCAACACCTACCCCCATAGGCTGCCGCATGCCCACGCTGGGGATGTGTCTGGCACCCACGGCAGAAGCGTGGGGAATGGCAAACCTGCCATCCCGGGAGCTTCATACTGTGGGAACAGCCCCCTTGAAGGCTCTGTCTTCTATAGTTTTACTTTTTGGGACCATAGCCTTTTAGCCCATCTCACAGAGTAACAGTTGCTTCAATTTAATTTCTCAGTCTGGACATTATTTATTTATTTTTAAAAACAAGAAATAATCTAGAACTTCACCACACTGGCTTTGTCATAAGAGTTTATAATTCCTTAAAGCAATAATTCTGCACTCATTATTATAGCCAAGCACAACCTGAGCACTTGGGTGACAGCTCAGCATGCTGAAGGGGACAATTCTGTCACCAGTCACGGTGCCCAGGGTCCCCCTCTGTCCCCTGGCAGCTCACTAGCCTTAAACAGGGCACCTGCTTGCTAGTTTTGTAACCAACTGCATTTTAAGCAGCCATAAATATTATTTGCTGTAGAAGGGCTAAGAGATCTAAGTTGCACTTGTAAGAGAGTGAAATCTCAGTAATTTAAAACACCCAAGGGGGCATGCCCTCCCCAAGCATGTGCCACTGCTTTTGCAGCCAAACATCCAGCTGCATCCCATGGCACCCAACAGCAGCAGCAGGGAAACCCCTGAGCAGAGGGGCCCACGAGGCCAAGCTTGCTCACCTGCTCCAGAGCAGGCTGCTCCTGGTGTCTTTCCTGGGCTTCAGTCTTGGCTTCTGCCAGTCCTGGGATCATTTTTAACACACACACTGCACAACTTTCCATCCTTGGTTGGGCAGATTCAAAGCTGAAACCATCCCAAAGAAGCAATCCAAATGCTTATCTCATTAACTGTGAAAACACACTCTGCCCCTGATTGGCCCTTCTGCTATGATAAGCCAGAAGGAATAAACACAAGCTCATTTTCCTACATCCAAGAACCAGCTTACTCCACAGAAGATACCCACAGACCATGGGTGGCAGCTCTATTTATTACCAGCAACCCAGTATCACATGTGCCCAAGTTCTGCAGCTCCATCAGCTGAGCTGCAGCAGCTGCTCCCATCCTTGCCTGCAGCTGGCTTTCCCTCTCCAAGTGCAGTGGGTTTCCATAAACCACCCGTGGGGCTTTGCATGTCGTGTCCCGGCTGTTTCGTCTTGTGCAACCAGGACCCAGACTCGCTGCTTCCAACGAGGCTGTTCTGCAGGAGCACAGACCAAGTGCGAAGCGCAGATGTGCACGGAGCAGAGCAGAGACAGGGCAGAGGGGCTCCTGTCCCAGCTGCAGCCCAGCCTCTGTAGCTGAAAGTACTTTCCCCTCTACTTTATCAAAATGTGAAACAAGAAAGAAAACAACCCAGTGAAGTTTTCATGCTCTGTCCCACCCCTCTCATCCACGAGGATGTGGTAGGTTGGGTTGAACACTTGTTTTCTGACCTGTTCTCCCATCCTTGCGGACAGCAGCAGCAGGCTGAGAGTGAGAGCGCTTGGCTGTGTTGAGCCTCAGCGCCACCGAAATGCAGTGGATTTCGTGAACATCTCCCTGGTTTGGGCCAGCTCGTTTAAGAGGAGTCTCCACCACCACGCAGGAAGCTGGGCTCCCTTCCAAAGCCCCCACCTACCAAGGGAAAAAACAGGCCATTACCAGACAACCAGAGAAACGGGGCATCAATAAGTCATGTCTGCAGTTTGTCTGCAGTCATATGATGTTAGGATTGTAAAATAATATCTGATCTTGGAAACCTTCAAAAAATGTGGATGCCTTTAACCCACAAAACCCAACTTTTTAACCCACAAAACAACCTGAGCCAAGGGCCATGGTTGTCCTGAGTCTTGTAAATACGTTTTGATCTTCCTAACTACGTCCGAAAAGGGGTGCAGAGGGAAGGATTTTCCTTTCAGCTACTCCAAACTCTTCTTAAAAGGAAACTTCTCCAAATGAGTCATGCTGCATTGGCTTTTCAACACAGCACTATTGAGCTGGCTTTCTCCTGTGGCATTTTTCCATGTTTACACAGCTAAGGAATGCAAGGGTGCTTCAAGAGACAAGATATGTGGGCTTCAAAACATTTAAATGCCAGCACTTTGGTATTTCATCTTCAGCTGATGAGCATCAAGCAGGAGAGCAGAGCGCCGGGCTGGAAGGGAGAGTCCGAGGCGGCGGCACCGGGAGGCAGAGCACGTGCGTTAGGATGGGGCTGGCATAACTGCACAGGGAGCTTGGGGCCCTTCTAACTCCTAATGCAAAGTCTGGTCAGTTTTTCGTTTCGTTCCTCACAGTTCCAGTCCTAGATTACCTTTTCTCCGTTACTCAAAGAAATTAATTAAACAGGAGTAAACAAAACAACCCTAAAAAAAGCAAATGCATTTTGCTTCCTGCAAAAGAGCGTGACAAAGAGACCCTCGGGACTGTGGGGTTGCTCCTGGGGCTGGGAATGTGCTGGGAAACCTCAGCACGGTTGCAAACAAGGGGCAGGAGAGGTGCAGAGCCAGCTTCCACTTTCCCTCCTCGCTCCTTGCTGGCACTGGGGGCAGGTCTTTGTAGCGAAATGGGCATTATCTACCCCATAAAATTTCAGATAAGAACAATTTACACATATGAGCAAGTTGAGATCAGATGATCACCTGTTCCTAAGTTTGTGCTTATACAGTTGGTGCATAACTAGGAAAAACAAATCCAAAGCATGGAGCATATTCCTGGAAATCAAACCTGGACATACCCAGGACTGAGGCTTTACCTTCCTGTTACAGATGCTCATTACAAGCCTGAGCTGAAGAGACAGCCCAGTGCAAGAGGTGGCACTACTCCCATGTTTTTATTTATTTAATATTAAGCACAACTTTACATCTGTTCCTGGACCTGAGGTGAGAAAGTCTGGTTTCGTGTATCACTCTCTTCCTCACTCCCTCTTTTTTCAGAGGCCGTCACTCCTCACTGATGGGTTTGTTGCTTTCTCAGGGCAAGTGTGAAGTCTACATCCTTTGACTCTTCCAGATGAGCTTATCAGGGAGCAGAGAGAATGTGGAAAGGTGAGCTGGGCTCAGGCTCCAGAGCTGCTTTTGTGCTTCTTCTGTCTCCTCCATTAGGAACGGGATAATATAATTGCCTTCCTCAGTGACCAGCTCCAAGAGATGAAGGCCAAAACAGACATGGAGAGCAGCTATGTGAGGAAAAACACAGAGCTGCAGGTCCAGCAAACCCAGAAGAAGTGCAGCCATGCAGAGAATGACCTGAGCAAGGAGACTGCGGTAAGCAGTCCCCAAACAGGAAAAATGACCCAGGATTCTGCTTTTTTTGTTGGTCGTTTAAAGGTTGATTTAAAGTGATCCATTTTTTTTATATGAAGGTTTTCTTGCTATTCTTTTTTGTTTGTTTGTTTGTTTTTATAACGAAAACTCATGCTCCACTTCCATTTAAAACTTCCCAGTGGGAAGTGGCAGGGCAGGAAGCAGGATGGTGGGGCCATTTCCTATCCCTTGCATTTATGTGAATTATGAGCATTTCAGGTACATTTAGTTACCTACTGGCAGTGCTGAGATAAGCAGCCCGAGCCCTCCCTCCGTCCCCAGATGCCCTTTCTGTTGTCCCTCAGTCACCAGTGCAGCTGTTTGACCTGTCTCAGGAAGCTCGTCCAGGTTAGAAATAACAACCCCTCTCCCCTCAGCTGCTTCTCTGTGGGGCTCTGCAAACAGCTGCCCCGACGCAGGCAGCGCTGCAGGAGACGGGGGCTGCAGGCAGGGACTGCTTAAACTAATGCAGTTGTCAAAAGAAACTTTCGTGTAACCGTGTCCAAAGGCTGAACTCACAAGACTGTTTCTGAAGCAGCATAAGCAGCCCCAGTTCCCAGAACTGCCCAGCACATGATGCCAGCAGAGCTGTTTGTGTAGCCCCAAGGTGGGCTAGAAAACTTGCCTGTTTTCGCACAAGTCCTTTTTGGACCGATCAAGGTCTGATCTAGCTGGCCCTTTTCCAGGATGGGCCAGGGGCAGGGAGTCATTTTGTGCCCGAGGAAGGTGCCTGGCCTGCCCGAGGGCCACGCGCCGCTGGGGGCCCGCAGTGACGCTGTCGCTGACGTGCTCTGCCGCAGAGGCTGAGGAGCAGGACGGACGAGGAGATCCGAGTCCACGTGGAGATTGAGAACTTCCTCAGGCAGCAGCAGATGGTACGTACCCCTATTTCCCTGCTTAAAACTGCCACCAATACAAATCACATCATCAATTAGTGTCTAAAGAAAAGCAGCTAATGCTCCATCAAACCTGCTAGGTTCATGATTGCAGCTATTAGAATGACTACTTGCCCTCTTAGCTCCTAACTAACACTCCAGTTTGGGCTACCTTGAATATGTTTCCTTTAGATTATAAATCATATAGCAATTAGTTTTGCTTAGTCAAGTGTTCTGGATTTTCCCTCCCCCAGATGGAGGTATTCCAATAATGGGGATTTTGGTTAGTGCTTCCTTTGCAATAGCTGGAACTGCCAGGGACTCAGGGGTTGCTGCACAAAGTTAAGGCAACAGCTTCACCCAAGTGTTGAATACAGGGGGCATTAAGAAGGAAGGGACAGAATCTGCCCACCCAACATTGCCCTGTTTTAATCTGGGAAGGAACCAGGGCTGCACACTTGCCGAGTCACAGTTACTCCCTCTGACTTCAGCTACAAACAACCGAGCATGACTTTGTGCTGTCGATCCAAAGGTTCAGGCTGTTTTCCTGTCATTGAAGAGCAGCAAATTCTGTAATACCAGTAAGCATCTCACAAAACATGTGACTGAAAGAAAGTTTGTACTGCTGCAGAATATCTCATATCACTGCCAGCGTGAAATTTAGTAAGAGCAGCATGATTTAAAATGAAATTTAAGAGCAAAAAATATGCTGTATCTTCAGAACAGCGTTCTCCATATCCTAGAGCTTTACTGTGATCAGAGTTTCAGTCATGGGATTTTCCAAGCTCATTTTTTTGACTCTGCCCAAAGGCTAACTACCACCCCTCCATCCTCAAACAGCACCTGGGCCTTGTAGTAGCCCTTAGAGAAGAGGAGGACCATGTCCCCCATCTCTCTTGTGTTACCAGCTGTTACATTGCAATGACACTGATACTTTTCCTCAGATTATTTTTCCATGCAAGCAATCACGCTTGTTACTACGGAGAAGTAATGGACAAACGGGAGGAAATCTTCCACGTGGCTGTTGTGGAAACACTCTCCTATCAGAGCTGAGACAAAGCCAAGTTCACAGTCCCTAGTGCCTTAGTCCTGGGGTGTTTAATTTAATTCATAAAGTGGCCAGGGAGTCATGCAAAGTTTCCTCACTGTCAAAATACCTTCCTAAGCTCTTTCCCAACACACACACACACAGAATGGCTTCCAGTTGTTGTTTATTGCACTAGTTGTTGTTCATTGCCTGTGCACAAAACCGACCCGATATTTCACCATTCTTCCTGCCACTCTGAAAGCCCAACGCGCTCTCCATCCCACGCCAGTGCTTTGGCTCCCCAGGAGACCCCAGCGAGGGCTCTGCAGCCCATCACTACCTCAGCCATAGTCCTAGGGCTTTGATCCTTTCGAGGCTTAGGAGGAACCATTAAGGTGCAACCTGCTCACACCACCCTGAAACCAGGGCAGGTAGCACCAGTGCACCTTTCCCTGGGACCTTCCCTGCTCCATGCTGAGCTCCTCTGTCCCTGAGCAGAAGGTGGAGGAGAAGCTGGAATACTGGATGGACAAGTATGAAAAGGACACAGAAGCTAAAGACCAAGAACTGAACACCCTAAAGGAATCGAAGGCGAGCAACCTGGAAACGCTGCAGAGACTGGCCAGCGAGGTGAGACCTCAGCAGCGTCTCAGCGCTCAGCCATGCAAAACTGTTTTATTCCTACCCTCCTTCTCTTCATCCAGCTAACATCCAGGACCATGGGGGAAAAAGGATATTTCAATATCCTAGCAGTGTAGGAGCACATAGTGAGGACTGGGGTAGCGGTCACTGATTGGGACTCTTCCGCTTGCTACCTGCAGTATCAAGGAAGGACGGTGACGCTTTCCTAGGTTTCCCTGCAGCTCTCCCGGGCTGTGCGTGGGGACTAATGGGCATCTAAACAGGCGCTGCTGCTGGAGGGGCCGGGCTCACCGCTCCCAGCCGCCCGTGTTCCCAGCTCTGCAGGGATCTGCTCTCAGGGAGCTGATGCAGATTACAGGGTTTCCTGCCCACACCAGTTTCTGCCTGGCTTCAATCACAGCAACGCAGGCCCTGCAGAGCCGCAGCGCAGGGCAGAAACAAGTGCTGAGAAAAACAGGAGTCCCCGTGTAATTAGGCCATATGGACACTGTGCCGGAGATGCTGGGGGAGAGTTAGACTTCTCCCTGCCTGGGGCTCATGTCTCCCCCCTGCAGCGTCACCTTCGTCACCTTCGTGTCCGAGTGTTCCCTACCTTTGGCCTGGGGGCGAGGAGGCTCCCACCACCATCTGCTGCCTGAGCAGCTGGGACACCGTGTCCCAGCACCGCCTCGGAGCGCTGGTTAGAGCCCGGCCACACGGGTTGTTTGGCAGCAGCTCTCGCTGCCTCGGGACGCTGAGTGACGGGGTAAGGAGCAGCACCGGCCACCTGGATTGAGGAAAGATGAAGGGCAGGAGGTGGGGGGAAGGCCCGAGGTCTGTGCTTTGCCCTTCAGCTGCCTGGGGGGGGGGCAGAGCCCCGGGGAAGCGTCCGCTGAGCCCCCCGCGCTGCCTTCCAGTGCCAGATGTTTGAGGAGGTCATCATCAGCGACCGGGTGGAGAAGGAGGCTGCCAGGAGACAACTCGAGCAGGACGCGCTGGAGCTGAGGAGCCTCCTGAAGGTAAAGGGAGCAAAGCGGGCAGTGGTGCCCCAGCAGCAGTCTGGCGTCGGGTATCTTCACCACAGGTTAGAAAATACCCTGAGAAAGTGGCCGGTGTGGGGTGAGCGGCAAGGGACGGATAAGGCCTGTCCCCCTCTGCTGCTGCGAGGCCAGCAGCTGCCTGGGGAGGGCGAGCGCAGGCCTGAGCGAGCAGCGCTGCCTGAGACCTCCTTTCTGTCTCCTCACAGCTGCAGGCCTGGTGGAGAGGCACGATGGTCCGCAGAAACCTGGGCTGCTACAAGGACCTCAAGGAGACTCTAGAGAAGCAGCAGCCAAAGGAGAAGGGAAAAGGGAAAAAGGACAAATACAAAATAAAGAAAAAGAAGCGATGAACAAAGAGACCTGGCCCCAGGGGTGCTCCGAGGCTTGGAAGTGCGGGCTGTGGTCTGTGTGTCTGATGGGACAAAATAAAAGCACATAACAGAGCTGGGGCTGTTCTGAGGAACTCTGATAATGAAGATGCTGTTAAGGTGAAGCTTCTGCAAACTCGGGAGAGGGTGACACAATTTAGTGCTGCAGGACACTATTTCCCTAGCAGTAAAGGGAGCTGCACCGAGGCAGAGGGAAGCAAACAGCGCCCAGACGTCTGCCCAGGAACGCTGCCCTTCCCGGGCGCAATCCGGCCCCAGCTCCGTGGCCCTCCCGCTCCGGCCGCGCTGCTCCGAGCAGCAGGGGAGGCCTGAGGTGTCAGACACGTTAGACGAGCTGGGGTGAGGAGCCTCCTGCCCAGGAGTGACGCGGGTCAGCCCAGAGCAGCCCGTGCAGAGCGCTGACACCAGGGCACAAAGCACACGCGCTGGTTTTCATGGTCCCACGTTGCGGGAACAACGGGGATTATCCAGGCTGCTGCTCGCAGGAGCCAAGTTGACGCCACACGTCGTGTTGCAGCAGGCGCCGCAGCAACCGCTTTTTAACTTCCCTCCTTTTAACTCTTTCTCTCCGCTAATGCTTTTTCTTTTTTTTTTTGGATGTGTTTTATATATGATTAACCTGGGCCCTAGGTGGTTGTAGGTGTCAGCAGGTGACCTGCTGCGGGGGGAATGAATTTTGATCTTTAACTCTTCAGAGAGCAAACAGAGGAGCAGCAAATCTCCACTCTTTATATCATAAATTCTAGGCACACACCCAAGAGTAATAAACCAAAAAGATGTAATCTGAAGCATGGCAAGAAAAGAGGAACAAGCATTTGGACGAGGAAGGGCAAAGCTTTTGAACGCCACAGGGCATGAAGCAGGGGGGCAAACGGCATGGACTGAGCCCAAGCAAAACACGAGAACTGGGAGGGCTACCAGCACTGGCAGCAACCAACAGCCCGGGTCTAAAGGGAGGCTGCACCGCTCACGGGGTTACGAAGAAAGCCTGAAGCACCTGCAGAATGCACATGAAAACATCGGGATTTGGATCCCACTTAGCTAAGAAAACCAGAGAAAGAGCCAGGTCCATGAGCCGTCAGGTGCGTCACTGAGACGGAGACCCGGCATGCGGGGCAGGACATTCACCATCCGCAGAAAAACAGCCGGGAGAAACTGTAATTAACGTAGGCTTTAAAACTTTATTTCAAATTACCTCTGGTTTTCTTTTATATTATCCATGTGCTAGGAGTTCACACTACTGGCAGAATACAGGCAATTTAAAATAAAGTATACAAATTTCAGACATATTTATACTTAACAGACTTAGAAATTACGGAATGTATTTACAGACATACAGCATGGGATGAAGCTTTAAAATCCTTTACTCTATTAATTACACGTTTACACCGTTTTCAGAAATAACAAAATTAGAACACTTCGTAAAACACCACAATATCTATACAAAAGATTGTTTTCGATGTCCTTGAAAGTCCTCTGTTTCTAAAAACAGTTTTCAAAGAACCATTTATAGTCATAAAGGCTAAAAATACCACTCGCCATGTCACTATGGAGAACAACAGAGATGTTCTCGGTACTGCGGAAAGTTGTTTCAGATTTATTTTAACCAGGCCACCAAGGCAGAGGCCTCAGCAAAAGCTTCCCCCTTCACAAGGGGGAGCACCAAATCCCCACTGTTTTGACCTGATCTTTTCGGTGCTCCCAAGGACCCCCGAGCGCCGGTGCTGCGGATTTCCAGTCCGTGACACTGCGGAGCCTCAGATGCCGTTTGGTGCTGGACTTCCTTTGAGGAGGGATCGTGACACGTTGGAGCTACTCTATAAATACCAGCACCAGCCGCTTGCCTGGATTCCTCCTACACCCTCCAACACGAATGCCCCAGAAAGGAAAGACAAACTGCCTCTTGCATCAGCTCACAAAATACAATTTTATACGTGCTCTTTAAAATATTCTTTTCACCGGATACAACAAACATTGCACATCAATTCCCCACATAAATCCCAACCCATTTCATTGCAAAAGAGAACTGGAGTGGTTTTTGGTGTAATACATTAAATAAACCATGTGATGAAACTTTAAGGCTTGGATTTTTGTTTTAAACATCTAGTGAAGCTTTTGCATGAAAATACAAGATTATAGAAGTGAAAGCAACACGACCACCATACATCAGAAACTGCCAGAGTGCGCGGACGCTCGGAACAACCTAAGTGATACTTGGTAATAAGTGACATTCTTGAAGCCCAGATTCAACTTCCCACCCACCGCATTAATTCCTAAAAATGGGTGTTAATGAAACATGAAGCTTCCACCCACCTGAATACTGCTACGTCTCACTTGCTATAGGTGCTGGGAGCTGGGCTGCAGTAAACAGCAGCTCCCTGCAAATCTACACGGGAACCGTTTTCCTAAACGGATACATTGAAGTAGTTCAACACAGAGGTGCTTCTGAAGCCGCAAGCCCAGGTTTCATACAAACGACCTGATGTTGGAAACTATGATAAATGCAGTGGCCTTTTCTAGGCCAGGCGCCAGTGCAGCAGGAACGCACGGTCTGGTCTGCACTGCTGCTCGGGAGAGCCGGAGCCTTCCCTCCCGCAGCAGCTCCTGCTTTACACGTTTACGTGATCCCCCGTGCGCTACCAGCAACGTTTGCATGTGAAATTCAGTGAATGCAGAACATACCTAGGGAGGAAAGCACATCTGTATGGAGTCGCTTTCCTCCCCTCTATTCCAAGTCATTGGCACATACAGGGTTTGAGGAGTTCGTGACAACCCGCTTTCCCACTGTGGAAATAATGTGTCTCTTTTTCAAATGCACAGCTCTGAACACCCTTCACCTGCTCTTTTGGCCTTGCAACGTGACCAGCCAATGCCAATGAGAGGCAGCTGGAATCACTATATGAAATACAGGATACAGCAGTCACTGCACTGGACCTTCATGTAAAGAATTACATGAAGAAAAACTTCAAAAATGGCAAATCAAAATGGGGGAAAAAAAAAAGTCCAGCTAAGACCAGTCTCTGTCAGTGCTCCAGAGGCAGGATAACCTCGGCAAAGGTGACTTTAGGCAGCGTTTTCCCATGTCTTCTCCTTCCTTCATCCCCACGAAATCCTCTTGGTAAATCCTGGTTCAAATACGTCACATGAGGGACTACCCCAGTGCTTCAGGCTGCTCTCAGCCCCATGCACTACATGGTACTTGCAGCGTAATATTCTGGGGTATTTTAAACAGGCCAGAAGCTAACAGAGGAACTGCATGGATAGAGAGCTGCATTCTGCAAGGTCTTTGGGAGGAAGAAAAATCGTTACCAATGTGGAAATAAGCCTGGCCTAGTCCTTGGGACCAACACACAGAAAACTAGTCCTTGTTTTGCAGGTTGACTTTAAAGTAAAATGCCAAACTTGGCTGGAGTTGCTGCCATTCCCGTATTTTCAGTATCTGCTTTGGCATAAGGAAGCAAGAGTGAAGTTGTGGTACTTCTGTGAAACGTGTACATCTCTCTCAACACCAGTGAGGAAAAGGCTTTTTTTAAAGCCCTGCCAAACCTACCTTTTGCAACAGGTCCCTGCTTGGAAAATGTGCAACCTACCTGTGGCAATTCAGTAATTATGCTCTCAAAATCATTCATTTTTCAGCAGCGGGGACACTCACCAGTGTTAGCATGACTGCACAGGAGGCTCCAGCCCTGCTAGAAGTTCTATTTAATAAGGGCTTTCTAAGATTAGCACAGCAGGGAGCAACTCTTTGCACTGCAGTGAAAACAGGTACATGATTATTGATGACATTTAGTCATCCTTGACAAAACCGTTCAGCAACTAAATGTGTCCTTATGTGATTGGAAGGGGAGGTGAGAGGAGGTAGAAGGGAGGTTTCCTCCACTGATGCTGGAGAAGTTACTCAAGACATATTAAAACCCAAACAAAAAGTAAACCCAGCAGGAATGCTGATGTGTTCAGTACAGTGGAACTGTCCTGTTCCACATGTGTTTCTGGTGAAGATACCTGCAGTAATTTTTTCCCTTGGGGATGAGGGTGGGGGAAGCGCAGATCAGTTATTTTTATTCAGAGTTCAAACACTGAGGACATGCCCACATAGGCTATAGTGGCATGATGAAACCCCCTGCAATGCAACCTTAACGCTTATGCGTTATTGTAATGGAAAGAGCTGGTGTTTTTCAGAGGCAAAAAAACCTCCCCTTCTTTGAACCCTGTGGGGAAGGAAAACAACTCCTGTTCCCCCTGTGCTCACTGCAAACCATCCTGCTAATAAATGAATCCTCTTAGGAATCATCTCATTTTCCAAACTGTACACCAATGTCTTCAATCTAAGGACCCATGTTTCTGCAGTTGGCTCCAACCATCATCCAGTGGAACTCCCTGCCCTCCTCACAATAAGCTTTGTTTTAGAAGGGGCAAAAATTATTGATAAGAAAAGCCTCCTGTTATTGGAAACTGTTGTGATCTCCAAAAAAAGTGGAGAAATGAAGCAAAACATTCCTGTCAGGAATCACGGAAACTCATTTCCTTAGAACAGAGCTCTGTGTGTTTGGATGCACTGCATGGGCAGCAAAGTCTTCACGTCCTTCTGCTTAGCCAAGGTAACCCAAAAGGTCCTGGAGGTCTCTACACAGCAGACAAGTGGTGAAGTTGCTGCTGCTTTGGGGGCGCCAGCTCCAGGAGCGCCTGGACAGTCACAGCTACCTGTGTCAAACCCTTCTCTTCTAAAATATGTAGAGGCAAACATAATTGCTCCTGAATGGGGAACAAAACAAAGACAAAAAACAAAATGGATGAAAAACACTCAACTGAAAAGAAAAAAAATTAAGCAAAAACACTGAAATATGAAATGTTATGGACAGCTAAGACACACACAGAAGAATGAAATGAAATTTCTGCTTGTGAATAAAGAACTGTAAATGTGACTACCAAAAGAGGAAGCTTTAGGATAATCACTGTGTTTACAATATCAGCCATCACACAGAAAATAAGTATAAATAAGGAGAATTAAAATAAAAAGGATTTGTGGAGAAGTGGAAAAATAACATATTGTCCTCTATCTTTACCCATACTGAAACGGTAGCAGTCAATAAAACCATAATTAGACTAACTTATGAAGGGGGAAAGTGTTGGTTCAACATATGAACCACCTGCAACAGAAACAGCAGGAAGGACCCATGGTTTCCCTCCCAAAACGCTGCTGGTTTACGAGGGAGCCCTCACGCAGCAAATCTTGTTATTGAAAACAAGAAAACAAAGACCTGCTTTTAAAGCAGAGATTGAAAGAGGAACATGCGTGACAGAAATGCTGTGCAAAGGTCTAAGGGGAAACATTATACTGAAGAGCAACTCAAACTCGCATTGCGTGACACACTGTCCATCTGAAGTCCTTTGCTCCACTGGTGTGATCTGATTTCTATCACTACAAGTTGTTTTATGAAAGAAATAATAATAGGTTTTAAAAAAGTCTCGCCTCTGTGTATGACTGAAGTGACCTTGATAATGAATGTAGAACAGGCTGCTTCTCCTGTTCAAGGCAACAAGAAGTTGACAGTGTATTAAAAAGCAAAGATCCCTCCTATAATATTTAAGGGTGAGCACAACTTTCCCGTCTTTCCCAAGCTCCTCTGTTTAACAAAAACTCAAAAATCATATTGAGGAATAACATGGATACACAAACTACAAAGTTTTCAAACTGTTTATTAAGAATTGTGCTATTTTCAGTCTACGATGACTTTAAAGCCTGCACAAGGTCTTGACCCTCCTCACTCCACCACAGTCATCCCCAGACAGGATCCGGGTGCCAACATCTCTAATGGGGTCATCTCATCTGGGTCCACATCTCTAGTCAATAACTAAATTTGTCCTCCCTATAAAGCTACAGACATTTTTTTTCTCTCATGTGTTACTCCCACAACAATCAGCATTTTCTCACTCCTTGTACCATTACAGATCAGTCACATAAAAGAAAGTCTTCAGGATAAGTGATGGCAGCCAACACTGTTCACACAAAGCTCAGAGTAGAGAAAGACCAAATTAACCCAGGCTGAAACCCTCACAGTAAGACAGAGTATCAGGCTGAAATGTGTTTTTCTTCTATCAATTTTATAGATGTTATTTTGAAAAAAAAAATGTGCTTTTTGAGAAAACACCAGTAAACTTGACTATATAGGTCTTATCTTTTTACTTAAGTAGTAAATGGATAAGGCGAAAAGCTTTGGAATGACTCCATACCACAGACACAGTCATGACAAAATTTAAGAACTGGAAGGCACTGTTAGGGCAAAGGTTTACCCTTGCTGCTTTTATCACAGTGTTTATTAGAAGAGGTTAAGAAACATAGAAACCGAGTTCATTTTAGTTCGTATCAGTAAACAGTGCAAAAATAGCTTATTTAAAAATAAAACAAATGCAATCCTGCCAAAGATCTCCTCTCTCCTCAAAAATGTTTTGCTTGGACAGGACATTTTGTGTCAGTCACAGTGTGTGATTTAGCAAGCGGGACTCAACTCCTCTGCTTACTCCTTTGTTAAATATCCACTTTATGTTGCTTGTGAGATCCATCTGCATATAAGCATTTTCACCAGCAGTGACAGCATTTGCAATTAAGCTCCTGTGTATCTTAAACTGTGCTTCAGAGTTGCTGCCAGGTTAATGCTGGAGAGCTGACACCACTTAAACTGGGGTTATGAGCTGCTTAGTGTGTTTTCAGATATAAGAAATGTATTGAAAACACGCTCAGACCAGCTGCACTACGAAACACTTACCTGTAGCTGTGCTCTGAACCCTGAACTGCTCCAGCTCTGAGGAGACATGGTCTTTTGCACGTGACATTAGGAGTGCCCTGAAGTTCTGAGGTGTCCCTGAGAAATACATTAAAGCACCAGGACACAATGGGGAAGGAAAAGCTTGAAGCTTTACTTAAGACTACCTGAGTTTTGCAAAACAGTAAAGTGTGGATGTGGTGAAGTAGGTTATGGAATAAATATGATTCAGGGCATTTGCAATTGAGTGGTAATTCAGGAGTTTTTGTTAAGTTTTTATCAAGTCTTTCATCAAGACCACAGTAAACTGCCACAATATTCTGTGGGATCTGATAGAATATTAAAGATTTTTCCTCTGGACCAGATTCCCCTTCATCCTTCTGCTCTCAAAGCTGACTGAAGAGCTAAATTTCTTTGAAAATTTCTTGCTTGATCTGTTGAAATAGCTCAGGGTTCACTACTACTTTAAAAATCCTGACTCAAAAGTAACATATCCAGGGTCTACAAAGGTGAGAAATCAAATACTCTCAGAAGCAGGATAAAGTGTGGTAAGAAAATAAAAATAGCAAAGCCCTGCAGACAAACCTATCCGACCATGTCTCCTAAGAGTGGTAGAGCTAATCAGACCATCGAGATGAAAAAAAAAAAAGAAAAAAAAAAAAGGGGGGGGAAAAAAAAAAAGTTTTGCATTTTTTCCTAGTTTTTTTCCTCAGATAATCTGGATGCAATGTACCAGAGTGGGAGCGATTCCCATTTCACAGATGGGGAAATGGGGGCATGTTCCCCCATCACATGGGCATGTCCTAAACTCAGTCCCCTGCTCTAGCCTGCGGACAAGACCTTCCCCCTGGTAAGGGTTATATCTGCTAAATATCACACAGCAAATACAAATGTGAATTATGCCACGGACAGGTACACGGATGTAACAACATATTTACGCACTGTACCTGTCACCTCTGTCCCCTACGTGGAAAAGAAAGCACTTCATACACACAGTCTTGACACAAACCAAAATCCTTTACCAAGCACTGGAGTGACGGAGGGAGGGAGAAGCAAAACCATCTTTCAGCTAGAGGAAAAAGACCCAGCGATAGAACATACAGAGTGTTAGCATTAGAGTACAGTAAAACACCACAAAGCCCCAAAGCTGAATGGAAAGGGAGACAAGGGTGGATTCTTCTGAATCTGTCCCCAGGGAAAGAAGAGTCTCAACTGTTCTTTTAACGCTGAGGTTTAGCTGAAGAATGTCAGAAGGGGAACAAAGATTGTCCTGTCCAAAGTGTGTGAGCAGGAAGGGAAAACAGACAGAAAAAAAAATTAATTAGCCATACTAACATCCACGAAGCGGTCAGTCATCAGACATCTCAGATATACCCTGCACATTCAAGGAGCGTATCACAGCTGGTTAATTCTCACAAAGGAATCTGCAAGGCTGTCATTCCAGAGAACTATCTTAATGTAAGTATTCAGTGCTCAGTGTGTTGCCTGTCATGTGTACAACTTACACATGTAAAAATCTTCTGTTGTTAAAAAATAAGCAGCTTACACATGCCTTAGTGAAAATCAATTTTCTTTCATGGGAAATAAATTAGCTACAGGATTTAGAGATGCTTTGGCATTGAGTTCTCACCAACGTTACATGCATCTCAATTAATGGAAATAGTACAACAAAGGATTATTTATGTGTAATTGATGCTTGAGTGTAGCATCCTGCAGAAATACCTAATATTAACCTAAGTTTAAGTGCTCTATAACTATTACCAGTATATCTTTTGCCTTCCTTACACAGAGATAGCTACATAAATCAACAAAATCTAGATGCACATTTACCATATTCTGTTAACTATTTATTGGTTTCTTTTGATGCAAGGGCTCTACTGGCAAAGTTCTATAGAAACATCTGCTCTATTGTGGTGCTGGAGTAGGAGTGCAGTTCTGCCTGCAATCAGCATTTTCTAAACGTAGCTTCTCACATAAAATAGCCTGTTCTCTTAGAAGGTAAGTATTTCTACATAGATCCATACTTTGACAAGCCCTTTCTATTCGTAATTAGAATTTAAATGAAAGGAGATACCTGCAGGCATCTTTTCAGCAAAAACATATTAGGCTGCCATGCCGTTCTTTCATACAGATATCTTGCCTTCTCATCTCAGTAGACATGTAATGTAGACATGTGAGAGTAAATTTAGAGTTCATGTTGGGGTTTCAGTAAGTTTCCCCAGAGACATTTGCCTTGATTTTTTTTTTCAGATTAAAGGAGGAGAAATGAAAAAAGTAAGAGGCTCCTAGGTAGGAGGTGAGTTTTTATGACACCAAGACAGATGTAGCACAATGAGTCTAAGGGTACTTTTTGCTGAGATGACTTCTTTTGTTTGTTTTAAAATGTAGGTCATTTCAGTGATCTGCTTTGCAGTGCAATGCCATGAACAATTACATCTGCACATCTGAGGGAGCTATAAATTGGGAGCTGGGATGGAATTGAGTAACTTTACCTCAGAAGAACTTGTTATCAGTCCTGCTAGAAGCAAAAGGCCGAGTTTTTTTTAGAGGACCAAGAGTGTGTGGTACCTCTAAACACCAATTACCGCTCATGCCCCCCGTCACGTTCCAAAGTCGTGCACCACTGAGTTATGTGAAAAGGCTGGGCCACTCTATAATGTGCTACCCTAAATTTCCAGTGGCTCAAAACCTGCCCACAAGTGAAGCTCTCGGGGACAAATCCAGAAAATACTGCACTGGTGACTAAAGAGCACAGCTTTCAGAAGGTGTTGGGAAATGAGTCACTGGGTCTCCTTTTCCCTTTAACAAAGCAAAAGAAATAAAAAAGGCCCTATAACAGAAACTCTGACAATCTAACGATTAATGTCCCAGAAGAAAAATAAAGCAAAACAGGACATGTATCAAAACCATTTATGCTGAGATAGCTGCTAAATAAAGCAAAAGGGAAAGGACAGGACAGCATGAAACAGGATAGTCAGACTCCAATATGTTATTTCATGTTTCCACTTCATAGCTCTTCCAGTGAAGAGGAACACCAGGAGATACTGGAATGCTACCACTGGTACATAACACAAAGAATTAGGATCTATGCAAAGATAGCTACCATCAGAGAAAAGCAAATAATACTGTGGCTTATTGGTAAGGCAGTAAAAATGTTCACATAGGAGGATTATTCTCAAGGCACATCAAAAGATTTAGGATTAAAGTAAACATGTGAAAAGTTATCCAAATTTTATTGCACTTTTGAGCTACTAAATAGCTTAAAATAGCTATTTAGTAGCTTAAAATAGCTAAATAAATCTCCAGAAAATGTAATTATATTTGTAGAAGTACACTGCAATTCTGCAGGGCAGATTCAAACTGCATCCAGTATCATGAATATGAAGGAGAGCATTAAATGAATCAGGTCTATGACAAGAACTGCATCTGACTTCATTTTGCCCTGGAAGAGAATGCAAACCAAATATGATCTATACAGTAGATGTATCTTATACCTGCACCTTTTCTGAAGGTTTTCACCAAATCTCTCTCAAAAAAGGTTCTGTTTTTCTGAAGCACCTGAAACAATATCAGAACAGCAGAAGGACGTACCTGAGGCACTCCAATCCTTCTGCAAGCGTCCAAAAAATTCTCCACGTTTCGTCTGCATTTTGCCATTGTAAGTTTAGGCTGTAAAGGAGGAGAACAGGAAGGTATAAAGGGTTCTTAATTGACAGGATGTTCACATTTTTATTTTCTATGTAAATAAAACTCTTAATAAACCTGATGATCAAAACCATACCACACTGACATAAGCTTGTCTAATTGAAACCAGACTCTGCTGTACCTTGTTTTTCTTTAGAAATGTAAGCTCAGATTTCAGAACTAATTTAAAAAATGTTAAGCTGGATGTTTTAATGAAAACACAATCCCAACCCCTGCAAAATTTGCATACAAGGTGTTACCTAAAACAGGCTAACACTTTTAGCAGTTTCAATATGCTAATTTAAAAAATATATTTCAAATGAAATGCATATACATGACTCCAAGTATTGCAATTTCAAAGTAATTTCTTGATACAAAGCAATCTGAAGTCTGTTCTGGATTGATAAATTTTAGAAATATTTCAAGCCGTATTTTAATTAACAAAGAGATTAGAAGAGGCCATATGAAACCAGAAAATAATGGAAGAAAACTGTAATTGAAACTTGCTGCTTGTAAGCTTCGTGCAGATGTGTTTGATGTGGCTGTTTGAGTTGGGTTCACTAGCATTTTTTCAGGATTTTTTTTCCCCACATAGTTAACTTTTACACCTCTCCACAGAGATGCTGCTGCACAGGCTCTGTCTTGCTTCTACTCTTCAAGCCTGTTCTTTTCTTAAGGAGACAGAAGTTTCCTGTTCCTTTGTACGAGACACCTGCAGTCTGCACAGCAGCCTCTGTGGGGTCAGTACTTTTCAATAAGCGAGGAAAAGCTTCTGCTTCTGTTCTGTCCCCTCAGTTTGTCTTATCACTCCACCAAGAAAGCAGGTTAAAGGCTAGTTCTGACTTCTTTCTCCCGAAGGATGAAGGGAATACAAAGATCACATTGTGGACTGAGGCACGACAAGATGCCTCTTCTGCTCCTGGAGCTGTGCAGCTACAGGCTGCCTTTTCCTAGAGATTTATGGCAAAGCCATGATCTAACTCACAACACAGATTATTCCAACAGCACATAAAACTAGGCCATTGAAAAGATATTCTTTATAACAGGAATCTGTTGAATAGTGTCTGTATGTTTTTTTTTTTTCTTGAAGAGTCCACATTCTGCCTAAAACGTTGGCGTGTCCAGTTCAATAGTTCTCAAAATAATGAGGACATCTGCCTCTTCACAAAAGCCCAAGGGAAAGGAACCACAATGATACAGTATGCAGCCCTGTTAAGTGCCAGTTCAAATTCCACTGACATAAGGACTGAGGCCAAAATACTGAAAAGCAAACAGGCATGTTTTAACTTCTTCCCCCAGGAACAGTCTTTGGTTTTCTCCCCTTTCTTATTCATACTACTTTAAGATAACGTGAATGAGTGCAACAAGCACTTTGTGTCCCTAACTGCTTTTGAGTAGTTGACCTTAAATATTTTTTCACTGAACTTTTTGGCTGCCAAAACCAGAAAGAATTTATCCTGTATAGATAGAGTTGGTAAATATTGTACTTCACGGTTCTCAATCTTTCTCTAATTCTGTACTTTCCTTACATGATGCACAATAATGCATCCAGAATTACATCATCTTCATTGCTCCCCCACCAAACTGCAGATAGTCAAGGTAAGAGAAATAACTTTCCAAGCTTTCAGATTTACCTGTGTTCGTCCTGGCACCAACAGCAAGCAAGATTCCTATCCCCATGCACAAAGCTATTTTTCCTGTTATCACAGGTATGATGGGATCTGCTTTGTTCTAGGAACTCTCCAAGCACATGCAAATGGAGCTCAAGGATGCTCTGCTAAAAACCCTAATCAGAGGAATTTATATAGCTGCAAAGTGGACACAAGAATCAATTTGGATTCTCTGCCTGTCCTTGCTGTCTTCTGTAACAGGCTCCTAATCATTTGTGGAGAATAATGTATATTCTAACTACTGTCCTGAATTTCTCAGACCTCTTATCCTCTCAAGTATCTTTTTGCAGTTTCATCTCTTATTCACTCTTTTCTCTTATTCACTCCATCTCTTATTTCACTCGTGTTTCAGTTAACATAAGCAGGACTTGAAAATGTTAATATTGACTAAAAACTGTGCTAAAAGCAACTTCATTTAATTGAAATATACCTCAAAATACATTTTAAAAATGAAGATAAGCCTTTTACTTAGACAGACCAGATGGTTAGTGGTGGTGGTGGGCGTCTGCTCATAGACAGAGGAAGATGCTGAGTGGGGCACTTGCCTGATTACAAACCACTCTATGATGCCATCAACACTGCATACTTACCACAGCAGGGGAAGGGACGTGAATGCTGGGAACAGACCGAGGACGCACGTGATTAGCTAAGTGGCACAGAACGACACCGTCGGTGAGGGCTGCTCCAAGATCACTGGGCAACGACACCTTCAAGCGTGATTCAATGTTCTGTACAAAAACGAACACACATGCACAGAAGGTAAGAGCTGCTTTCCTCCAACTACTTCATTCTGCTGAACATTTTATAATTTGCAAAATCACTTGCATTTCAGCTCTTATTTCCATCTACATGACATATTTCTGAACCACTTTATTTCTCCACACCACCAAGAAAGGCTCTGTGCACCACTATGGCTAAGAGCTGATCACAGTTTGGAAGCAGCTGAACTCAAAAGATAAACAGAGCTTTTATTGCACAGCACAGGGGACTAATACAACCATTATACAAACATAATGGAAATCAGGGTCTAAGAAAAGTATTCCACATCCTTCAGATTCTCAGAAAATGGTTCTACTAGGGGAAAAGAAAATAATTGTCTTTGTGGGTTGGAGGAGAATATAGCTAACAAAAGCCAAGATAACATTTTTTCCTTGTAAAGAAAGAAATGAACTACTAGGTATAAATAGTATAAAAGAATGAGCTAGTGGATGTATGGTGTTACCGGAAAAGTGAATACAAATCCAATTCAGGTTTTCATCCTGTTTCAAATGCTATAGGAATTACAGTTTTTGTACGAAAATTGTTAAGTATAAAAAAGGAAGTAAAGAGAAAACTATACATATACAAAACATTCTGACATAATGCAAAAAAGGCTCTACAAACAACACCAAGGGCTTTTTTTTTTCATTTTGTTTCGTTTAAGGTAACTTGCTAGATTGCCTTTTAAAAAAAAATTATAAGGAGAAGAAACCTTCTCAGTCCACTCAGGATACTCATAGTTTTTAAAATCGCCTTTAACAAGCAGTAACTCTTATTTCTTGAGAAAGCTCAAATGGTTAATTATAGCCCTTCAGGAAACCCCCAAAACAAGCCTGGAGCAAAGCAGAGCAGTACTTCAACAACATGTGGCATTTTCAATACTCATTCCAATTGTCATTGTACCTGGCCACCAGCCAGGATCCTGGTGACCTCAATAGCCAAAAAGCACAAGGATAAGGGACATCTGTATCTCAAATACTCTGCACTCAACTAAGAATGGCGCAAGAACCAATAGATGGATCCAGAACACACAAAAAAGTCACACAGTCGATATGACTGGCAGGAATCTCAGCATTCCACGTGTTCTGTGGGCTTTACAGCAATGGGGAATTTTTTAGAGATTAAGAGAAATATAGTGAGGTGGTTTTCAAAAGAGTTCCTTACAAGCATGAGTCAGTACAGTATATTCTACAGCATTTGAAACCTGACTATCCACCGTGAAAAAAACAAAGTAAACACCACTTCAACTGAAAGAAACACTCAGCCTGTGCAGCTGCCATTTAATTTTGCTCAGCTGTTCAGTGCAGTGGTTCACTGAGATAAGTCCAAGACACACGAGCAGCTTTCGCATGATACGTGTGATGCATTTGTTGAGATGCCCACACGCTGGTTCCTGTCCACACGTACCTTACGCAGCTGCTCTATCAGCTCCAGCTCTTCCTCTCGCTGTTTGGAGTATTGTCTTGCTCTGGGGTCTGCAGAATCATTAGCAGGAGACAAGGCACAGGTGGAAGATGAAGTAACAACTATGAAACGGGAGCATGAAGAAAAAAGAATCACTAAGCTTGATCTGGCTGATTATCCTTCGTTGCTGTATTACACACGCACATGCAGCATGCCAAGGTGGGTACTGCACATTCCTTTTCACGAATCTGTTTCCTTTATTAGATTATCAATCTACCAAGCTAATGACTTACTAACATTAATGAAACGTTTCTGGAACAGATCTTCCTTTCTAAACTCAGAATCTGTTTATTTCCATTGGCTAATAATAATTTAAAAAAGTCCTCTTTTTCTAAAAGATGAAATATGCTGAAAGAGCTCAGTCTTCCTATAAAAATTTTAATTTTGTTAGGTGCTACTATACAATTAAACATATCAAGCTGCCTTCACAATTTTGGAAGCTTGTGTAGCATTTCCTCAATATCCTTCTACGCATAAGCAAATCTAAGCACAAGCCCCCACATTTACATAATATGACAAAGCTCTATTTGACATCTCTAAATAATTGTTTGTTCAGAAAGCATTTATTTTCAATTTAAAGATGGGTATCCACAAATGAAAATCTGAAACTTGATGATAATGATCTGAAGTAACAGCACAGCACAAGACCTAGGTAATGCAGATGTTAACATCGTGTAGCAAAAGTAGGTTGTTTCTAAACTATTAACCTACCTTTCTTTGCTTCATCCCTGACAGCTGCTCGGAAAAGGAAACTCTCAGGTCGCTGGGGAGGGTTTCTATAGGAAGGCGGGGCTGCAGGGCCAGGATATGGAGGGGAAAGGTGGGCTAAACAAATGTGGAAAGGCACAGGAAAGGAAAGGAGGAAGAAGGAAACAGTTAAAATTTAATAGGAAACGGGTTCAGCAATGTGGTAATTAAACAGAACAAAACAAAATTTTAACATAATAATGGCAAAATAAATTACAGCCATGCATGATGCAAGCACGAAGCAGGAAAAGGCACTACCAGGGACACTTGCATGCAAAGCACATTCCACATACCACTTCCAGCAACTGTTCTAACTGGTGCCAAACACATCTGTAGGACACAGCCTATATAAAGGCCTCAAAGAGCCAAACCCTACGCTCTCCCTCAGGACATGCTGCATCCCTGCTGTTGTTTGCTCACATGTTTCTGAACAGATCCAAATAACTGGATGGATTCTCAAACACAGCAGAGCCACATACAGGGGTGGGAGTCTATGCTCCCTGCTCTAATAGTACAAGTGTGCAAGCAGGTATTTTACTCTCATTTTTCAGACATGATTTTCTTTCCCTGTTACCTGTCTGAGTGGTAGGTGAGCTGGGAGAGATGGTCGATCTGTCATCACTCTGTGGACAAAAAGCAAGAATGTAAATGACCCTGATTTGTTTGCTTGTTTCCTTGTTTGCTTTGTTTTTAAAAAGGCTCCATCCATCTAAATATGTTTCAGAGGAAAAAAAGAAATGTGAAAAACATAACATGTTGTTCTCTACATCTCATCTCTTCAGAAAGTTACAAAGTTATTTCTTTTGTAGAAATTGCACAATTCTTCTTTCAGGAAAAAGAATTATGAAATGGCATTGACAGTGCAGTGACAGATCTTTGTTTACTCTTACTTCTAACCAAAAACCTCCCTCACAAGACGACACTGAAAAACAGACAATTAAGAATGCAAAGAACTTGCGTAACGGCACCACTGGTAAGAGCACACAACCTCCCTTTGCATCTCTGCTAATGCAAAACTGCTGTTTACTGAGCTTCCCTCCCCTAATAAAATACACTGTCGTTTTATTAGGGTGTGTGCATAGACGTACGATTTCTTGTGATGAATGCACTCATTATAACCATTCCCACAAAGAAAGAAAGAAATATAGGGTAACCTCACTGAGTGGTAAAAGTAAGCTGATAGAACACAACAAAAATACTTCTAATTAACTCAAACTGGTCAAGAGGGAAATCATTTTTTTAAAATAAGAAGCAACAAAGATGACAGAACCCCTCAGAACAGATACTGGTTAACATGTTGTTATAATTAACAGAGCCTAAAGCTAAAGTGAGGTAATATCTACTATAATTTAATCAGGTAGATCAGGTTCATGCCCTACCTGAACTTTTGATTAGAAGCTGACACACTAACACCTGTTAAAACAGATGTGTGGATCCAAGAGCTTTTTGAACGATAATAGCAAGAGATACCTTGACAGGTCTGAAGGTAGAGGCATTAGGCAGGGTAGGAGCACAGCCTTCTTGACTCAACCTTGAGAGTGACTGAACACAGAAAGAGAGAAGGCAGCAGCAGTGTTAGCAAAACAGTTGACAGGTCACGTGCAGAGGCAGGACACGCTAGACAAGTTAGAAAGGAAGAGGTGGGTCAGAAACACTCAACAGCAAAAGACAGGAAACCATAGATTTCTTGCTGAACTACAGTTAAAGCCTGCCTATCCTATAAACTTTGTGGCTAACAAGCCTGGGAGGTGGCACATTCCTTTTATACACACCATGGGGACACCAAAAGCAGAACTAACAATAAATGGGGTGAAAGCTCCTATATTATGACCACAGAGCCTATGCCAGCAGACTCGAGCCCCAAAGGGGAAGCTCACCCTGCAATGGTGAGCAAAATAAAAACAGCTTTCCTTTTAACATAATGTGTTAACATAGTGTGTTTCAAACACATTCTGCAGTTTTAGCAGGTTTTGTGACTGAAGAGATAACCCACATCTAACAGGCTCTGAGATACGCTATCACTCTGTGCCCTAAACACCTACTGCTGACCTTTGAGAAGTTCAATCAGACAAAATTCTCCATTTTCCATGTGTCCAGAACGGGAGCTCCAGCATCCCAAAATACACACGCCACTGACGGGAGTATCTAAATGGCTAAACATGGTCCCCTTCAAGAATTCCTCAGCCAATACTGCTGCTAAGGGACAAGGTCGTATCCAACTGTGGGAAATAATGTCAACTATGAAAGTCTACTGCCTAAACACGTAACATAATTGTGGGTATTGCCTGAACAAAAATGAAATCACAGGAAAGTCCAAAGTAGGTTACTTGGGGCTCCAAATATCCCAGGCACTTGAAATAAAAGTGCAAATGTTGCCTTCTGAATTTTAATTGGCATGAACTACTTTCCATCCCTCCACTTATCAAAAAGACACAACAAAACATTAACATTTGAGGACTGGATGACTCAAGAAGGAAACAAAACTTTCTGAAACAGCATTAAAATAGCAAAGCAGCAAAGCAACTTATAAAAAAAAAAAAAACACACAAATCGGGAACTAGGAGTTCTCTAGGGGCAAGTCACACACTTTGGCTGTTAGTGCTTTAAGTGATTCACAGCTATTCTGCCTCTTCAGAAGAATGTATCCAGGAAGGCCTAAAAAGAGAGCTTACATGTTGGGCAAGCCTTAAACACAAGCATCTGCAGGAGTCATGCAGGCTTGGTAGCAGGTCCTCAAGGCAGCAGTGTGGTGGGATTTTATTAAGACGAGAGTTTCAAAATACCACTTGACTTAAGCAAATAAAACCTTAGTGGTCACAGGGAGCGAAAAACAAAGAAACGAACAAAAAAATCAAAATGAAACATTGCAGACCACAGGTTTTGGTTAACTGAACTGTCTATTTCTGGATAAAAGGAACAAGACGATGGTGGTGCAGACTAAAGGAAAGGAGTGGTCACAATGCAGAGATGCCCCACGGGCAGAGCGGAGGGGACACAGCACACCACAGGGGACGACAACCACAATAGTTTCACACTGCATGCTCTTCACCTGTTTGCGAGTCCCTGGCCGCCTTTTAATGGTATTGGTGTTATTGTCAATCTCAAACACAAAGAGAGGCTCAAAGCCGTTCTGTCCCGGATGGCAAGGAAAGAAAGGGAGGGAGAGAGGAAGAGGTGAGGCAGAGAACAACCGCAAGAAAAGGCTGCTGCAACACAAAAGGAACGGGATGCTGCAATTCGGGCTTGCAACACGCCAGGCCACGCGCTGCACTCGGTGTCGAGGTGTAGCGCTGAAGTCTCAGAAATCTTCCCTTGCCAGAATTTATTGGAGACACTGGGTCTGCCAGAGCACCAGAAATCGGCACTAACCAAACAAGGAGATTTTAATAATGAGAATTTGACTCTTAAATGCCTGATTACAGAAACAGATGCCAGAGCACAGGTTAGTACAGCTCAAGCCCTACTTGCTTTACTTGTATAGTTATTCCTGGTAGTGCAGTGGTGCCTAAAAAGCCCCTGTTTAAAACATGACGGCGGCTCCATGTGCTGGATGCTGCCATGACAGGGTCGGGCCACAGCCAAGGCCGCAACAGGAACACACAAAGCGGGAAGCGCCCAAGGCGGCCGCTACATGTGGGCCATGTCGGGAGAGGCCACCCCAGCTACCGGCCACTTTCAAGTCTTTCATGGGCCTCCCCACAGAGGGGAATTGGGAAGCAGCGGGAGAGAAAGCAAAGGATGCTTGGTACTTCGGGGTTTTCTTCCATAGCAGTCGCCTTGTGAGGGACAGCATGAGAGAAAACGAGAAGATACTGGGGGAAAAGCAGGATTGTTGACGCCCAACGCCCCTTCGCTGCAGCTCCCAGGCGCTTAGGAGCGATGTGAGGTGAATTATCAGTGCTCAGGGGAGGCGCGCGTCCTTGCTTCATGACTCCAAGCACACTCCTCAAAAGGGCTTTTCAAATGCAAGGAAACAATTTTAATTGAATCGGGGAGAAAAAGGCAACTTAGGGTTGTCCAAGAGGCGGTATAAAACATAAAAAGTTGACTCGGTTTCAGTTCTGCATTCAAGAAAATTTCTAAAAAAAATAGTAACCAGAAAAGAGAAGCAGCAAAATAAAAAAATAGTTGCTTGCCTTCTAACTATCTCGTTAAACTTGTTTTTGTATTTTTGACTTGTATCTGAGGTGAAAACATTGCTTGGAGCAAAAGCAAAGCAACTACTCCATTTATAGAGCTCTGATGTAATGAGGGAAATACTAAACAAAAGGGCTTTTATTTTATTTCTGCATAGCACACTGCTACAGAGCAGAATTCCCACACCATAAAGCTAGAGCAATCAGTGGAAAACCTAGCCTTTTTTTTAAATTAAATAATCTGCAAGTTCAAATGCTGAAAATAATTTATTCTGTGTCAGATAAAGTTTGTATGAGCACATATGCTATTTAAGCAGAGAGTGAGAAAGACATAGAAATTATGTATAAACGGAAAACATGTACTGAGAACTCCTATTTCTGAATAGAGGTTTGAAATGAAATGCCCCTACACTTCAGTGGAGGAGGAGATCATCCTTTAAAATAAGATCTAGCTAAATTTCTACTTCATAAGGACAGGGAAATCATTAAATGAAATGAAACAGAATTTAAGAGATACTAATAAACATTTTCTTGCTGTTAAACAAGTTTGACTATAGGAAATATATTCATAAGGGAAAAAAAATGTTACAAATTCATGAGCTAGCAAGGGCTTACTGTTCCACTTCCAGTAATTGCTAGAAACAGCTGTCCTGGCATATGTCATCATTTGACACAGCATATATTTCCATTACAAAATAAATCTCAAGATCTTACTTCAAAAATTCAGAAAATCCAGTATGTCATTTATTATTATAGTGCTGCTGGAAAGAATAAGAAATCACAGAAAAGGGGAATAAAGAGAGTTTCAAAAGTGATTTGATCAAAAAAAACCCCACCGCTTCTTTGTGAAAGTCACGGATGCAAATTGAGAAAAAAAGAAATCAGCAATGATGGGAGTCCCTCCCAAAATAATTTCTGCAAACTCCAAAGCATGTATATAAATGTACCTAAAATTCAATGTATTAATATACTACGGAAGCAGTAAGATCACATAATCAAATACAAATAGGGTCCTTATGGGCATGTTTAAAATACATTCCAAAGATGAGTTCACTGACAACAGAACAGCAAAACTTAACACATAATTCACTTATTTTCTCTCCTGTTTCTTATTATATAAATAGGAGAGCAGATTTTTATATACTGATTGTGATTCCTCTGAAGAGGCATATGCATAATGACAACTGAATTGCACACTGATATTATATGAGCTTTCTTTCTCTCCCCCACACAGGGCCAGACAGGCAATAGCAGGAATATAAACAAAAAAAATCTGAATAGAGAGACAGTAAATAAATATCTTGACCAACGTGTTTTGATGAGATACATTCTACTCGACAGCACTGCCCAATGAAAGTTTAGGCAGATCACAGAAGCACATGGATTAAGAAAATAAACCCCAGGCATGCAGTCATGCAACAGCAGGCAAATCTGATTTTTTTTTTATAGGCAAAGATTATGGCATTAAAATTTTTAATTATGCTATATTGATAAGGTACCATAAAGGAATAAATAGCATAAAACATGAAATGAATATATATATTTTTTTCCTAGTGTCCAAAATAGATTATTTTTTGATTTTGTCACTGATAAACAATAAAAATGTATTAGGAATATTTCATAATGTGTAGCATTGGGATGTAGAGCAGTTTTTCCCTTTTTATGATATGATTACTGAGATACTGAGTGTTTCTAGTCACTGTATGCTGCATGTAAACAAGTTTAAACAGAAGGCTACATGCAAAGCCTTAAAATTATTTATTTAACATCGAAGAGATCATCAACTAGGATGTAAGCTAAATACAGGAGGAATCAAACTGGAACTATGAGAGGTGTATTTTTAATTTTAGAACGTGTTTCACATTACCAGCCATGCCCTTCTGTTCCCAGCACAAGGTAAGCTTTAAGTCTTTTATGGAAAAACATCACTTTATTACCACCAAATTGCTGGCAGTGGAAGTGTCACAGAAGTATTCATGGCATCAAAGTTCACAGCTAAGCCACTTTCCAAAGATGATCATGTTTTATGCTATTTAGATTAGCTCTAAAATAGTTGGTCTAATTGGAGACAATCATAACATCTCGTTATTTTTATGCTCTAGAATCTGCCACATAGAAAGGTCATTGCGTGCAGGATTCTTACCACTAACAAGGCACTATCATCAGTATGCTGAGACCTTCTGGATGGAAAGGGACACTGGGAGGTGGGAAAGATGGAGTAATGTCAGAAACACACAGAATGACACAGTACATGAACAGACAGACATTCTGGAATACGTATGACCCTTCTACCACACACTCAGGCAGTTTTTCCACAGTTCCACACCATATATAAGTAAAGGTAAGGAAGCACAGGAATATGTAGCCATATGACCCATGGATTATAGTTTATTCTTATCACTTCAGGAATTAATTGTTCTGCTTTCTGTGCTGTTTCAAGCAAATTCAGACAACTCTGTATTCACAATTCTTACTGTGGTAGAACAAAAGAATCTCTGGAAGTGTAAGTTCAGAACAGAAGAACATTAAGAAAGCAAAGCAGCAAAAAACTTCAAAAACTGCAAGTTTGGATAATTTTCAAACAGAAAATGAGTACGTTTAACAATACTACTTCAGAGGCATTTTCCAAGTGCATTAAACATAATGGTCTGATACTACTAAGTGAATTTTCCCCAGAGGAAAGTGGGGATGGCACGTAGAGAAAGTGGGGGTGGCATGTGTGTTACTATATAATATATAATTCAGAAAGTGAATAGATGTCATTGGCTCAAGTCTGTGTATTTTGAAAGACTGAGCTTTAGGTGACTTCCCCCCATTTGCTTCTTACTTAAATTAAAAAACTACACTACATTAAAACTGCTTTTTTCTCCCATATCTGATAAACCTCAAAATTCTAATTATTATTTTTTTTTTTTGGAATAACTAGTAATCTAAACCTAGGGAGAAAAATGATCGCTGAAGGAAAAATGACTGTAACACAAAAACTCATCTGATACTCCTGTAGGAATTTAATTGTACTGCATCCAAGGAGTATCTTAAAATGGAACATGGAATGCATTTTCCATACAGAACACAGAAAAGAAAAACAACACAATAAAACAAAACACTCTCAATAAGACAATCTACACAAATACAAGAAAATAATACATTAAGCTGGTCCTATGAGCAAAAAACCCAATGGTTACTGAGCATGAAAAAAAGCTATAGCCCAGGAATGAAAAATTCTTTATAACTAGGAAAATATTTTTGACAGAAAAAGCTAAGAATTCAGAAACTGCCAGCAAAATTCTTAGAGTGGTCTTACCTCACCATCCAAAGGACTTTGCTTCTGAGGACTTTGCTTCTGAGGACTTAACGATGCTTTTTGCTATACAGGAAAAGGAAAAATGAAAGACTGATTTAAAGGATATGACAGACACACATATACTCAGAACAAAACAGCACCACTTAGAAGCGTTTTAAAAGATATTCTTAGTTTTTAAATATACAGGCATTGGGAAAAATCTGTTTTTTTTCTGAGCTGAAATGTCCCAGATACTATCAATCAAGATAAAAAAAAGATACCAAATGAACTATAAAAAAGAAACAAAAAAACACCTCTGTGCCATAGAAAAACATCCTCCCTCATTGTTGTTGGATATTAAAGATCCATAATGAACCCCAAATATAACCCAAGGGAGGAATATCATTGCTGAGAATAAAGTGCTCATGAATAACAAAGGCGATAGAATAAAAAAAAGCAGAAAACAAACAAAAAAAGGCTCACCGAGGAACAAAATGCATTTGAAATGCATAAAAGCCTTCAACTAAAAGGCTGAGCTGAATCTATAATAAAGGCAGCTTTTCTACAGCATTGCCAGGGGTTGGAGATGAACTAGCATTAATGAAAAGCCTGGTTTCAGACAGTTCAAAATCTTTTCCTAAAATAACATTATACATTACACAGATGCAATATAATATTCTTTTCTTCTTTGCAGACCATCCTAATCCCAAAGCATTTCTTGAATTGGTGATGACAAGATCTGATAGGTCACTGAAGCAGTAAACAGCATGACAAATGTAAATCAACTGGCACAAACAGGCTTGTGTGTTAAACCGTATTATGGATTACAGGGAATTATAAAAGAGCAGACTACTTCACACTGGCTGCCATGAAAGCCAAAGCACTGCCCACAGGGCAGCTGCCGTCTCATAAATCTGCACCGTTCCTTTACCTGTATAAAACCTATTTCTGCATCATAAAATATGGAAATAGGTCAGGGAACATTATCTTCCTGTGCATATGACTGCTTTCTTCTGTGCCAATTTTCTGTTTAAAATTCTTTGAGCTTTCCCAAATTAAGACTCCTGTGATTCATTATACCAGCCCTGTCACATCTATAAAGATGACAAACTGAGAGAATGAGGTTTGCAAGGTAGAAACAGAATTCTTTACAACGAACATTTTGGGTAAATCTATTCCATCTTCCCAATTCTACTTTTGTCCATAGCATCAACCATGAATGGGAGTAGATGTTGTTTCTCCATTTGCTTTATACAACACCATGCATGCCCAAGGCTGCAATGTACAATTCTTTATGTTCCTGACAATTAAAATTCATTGAGGGATTAGAAGAAACAAAGGTTTGGTATCAAATGGGCATTAAAAGAAGGTACTTTAACAAAGTCAAGGACAGCTTCTCTCTGGATCTGTTTCGTTCTCATCCTCTCTTCCTCGTATTGAAGTGCTGCTAGCTGGGCTTCCCGACGGGTACGCTCTATGTGTCTGTGGTGCAGCTCAGAGTCTGGATTAGGCACCTGGAACAAAACAAGGCACTAGGCTGTAGAGACAGAGCTACCAAGGGAAGGAAAGGTGGGACATAGAGGAACAGCCCATGCCTTGTGGCTAAAGCAAGCTTGCTTTTCTGTCAAGCTTATGCAAAAGAATAAAACAAGGGAGTTCAGTGTGTTACCTGACTGTGGTGACTTGATAGAGAGAGAAAGTAAGGTGAATCAGCCAAGGGCCTGACAAATGAAAAACAGAATAAGCATACTTTTTATCTTAAATATGAACAAGTTTCATATATGAGTTGTCAGCAATGCACGAATCTTATTAACTATAGAAGAGTGTTTAACAAGCTGAGCTGTTAAACCAACTGCTGCGATAATGACCAATTCTGGACAACAGTTTCCATCACACTTCAGGAGCAGAGATAAAGTTCTTTTACAGCTCAAGATCTAAGCAGGATTGTACATTTGGCTTAGATTGACACATCCAATACTTAATAAGGATGATCTCAGAGCTGATTAGGTAACCAATCTGTGAACTTTTCATATGTTCTTCAATCAAGGAGGAGCTGGTTATTATTGTTATTTAGCAAAATTAGTAATTAAAAAAAAATATACTCAACAAAAGCTATACGCTTCTCTTCCCTACCTCTCTGTCCTGTCCACATAATTCCTTAGTACTCGGTGTTGCTCTCTGTCCTGCATCAAATTTAAAGTTTCAGGTCTTCGTAACTCATCAGTATTCCTGCAGGTAAACATCAGGTGGAAGCTGGATTGGCCACTGATGCATATATATTATTGCCAGATTTATTTTTTTTTAGGTACTGCTGTTTGTAAAAGTAGTTGCCTAAACAACTAGCTTTGTAAAACAACAAATGGGAAATTTAGGATGACTTAAAAAGCCATGTTGCTATACTAACTTAGATTCTATTTCCTGCAATCAATTGTCTAGAGAATGTAACTTGCTTAATAGAATTTTATTTAAATATACAAAGCCTCCTTCAAGACTATGGTTATTATGGACCTTATACTGCTCTGAAAATAATAGATTTATTATTATTTTTAAACATTATCCTCTTTGATACTTTCAGAATAAATCTCACTTCCTTGATGAAATGATGACTTTCTAACTGTCAGTGTTAAAAGCCATTGGGGTGCCCAAGTAAACAAAAACCGATCTGTCTCACATCTATCACATCAACAGTAGAAGTGAGTTTTTGCTGTCAGTTCTTCACTGGAAGACTGCTGCTAGCACCAAAACAATTCCCAAATATTTGCTTGTTTCCTGCTATGTTGTCTCCCTAAAGAAAGTGGATGGAGGTTGGGGTAGTTTATTCTGACAGTCTAAACTTAGAAAGTTTTGCTCACGGTGCAATTGTGTAAGAGAAAGAAACCTAAAAGTGCATTTCCAAAAATTCACCACCCCTGTTGTCTTTGTGCAGACTAATTGTCGCACCCACATGGAGAGGTCAGGAGATGTGGAAGGTCCGTATGCTACAAGTCTCCTCTGTCACTTGACAGTGACACACGTGACAGATCCATTATTGGGCTGTTCTGAAGCACAGGACTGGGCTCAGCTACGTGCCGAGAGGAAAGATCCATATCCAGATCGGAGCACACCCAGCCTGGACTCAGAAATGTACCACAGGCTGTCCACAGGCACAAGCTGTATTTGCTGAACTGAATCAACTAATTTAAGTACTCTTGAGATGAAGTCTGCATTACATCCAACTCTTCAAGAGTTTTAATGGCTCCAGTATGGTGAAAAAAAAAAATAGGCTGCCTGCCAAGGCATTTGCAAAGAATTATTGTGGAAGCAGTTTACAGCTTGTGGCTGTCACAATGAAATATTCCACTAATATAAGCTTAATATAAGTCAATGATTAATTGTCATATAGCTGTTTTTCCTGAATTTTGAAGGCAGTAACATTATGATCTGTTTTTAGTGCCCCATTAAGAATTTCACTCTGCTGTAGCACAATATGAACATTTAGATCTTTGATTAAGTACTTCTGCATAAAGATCCACTACCACCTCCAAATAAATTTCGAAAACACTGGACATCTTACTGAACTACAGTTGCCTTTATCACCGGTGTGGTTTGCCAAAATCTTGTGTGTAACAGTTACTCTTTCCTGGCTAACTGGCCCAATCTTATTTCCTTCAGATGTGTCATGCAAGCTGGTGTTTGTAAAGTCTCTTATTATTTTCATGTCAACCACAAACATCCAAACAGGAATAAATAAAATTTAAATAAATAAATAAATAAATAATAAAACTCCCAAAACCCCAAAAACAGTCTTTCAGACCAAATGTACTCTCTTCTTTTGGGAGGAACATGGCTAACTGCTATATTACTTCATGTCTTCCTTGTGGACACTATAGGAATGCTGGCATATGTTGAAGGAGTTACCCTCTATTCTATCAATATTTACATTCTGACTGCACAGGTTAAAATCCTTACTGAAAAAGTCATCATAATTTTGCAGAAATCTACACACTGTTCTTGATTTAATTTTCCCTTAGAAAACTGTTTTTGAATGCCATTAAAATGAATTTCTACTGACAGCATAAATAACGACATACTTAAAAGCCAGCAGCTTTCAATCTTTTTTTTAATAAACCTAGCACAAGCAAGCCAATTTTCTGCCAAGCTCTTGCTCATGCACTTTTACTCCACAAAATATTGAGGCACCTCAAAGGCATGTTCACATTCTGTCACTTTTGATTTTAGTTGCACTAGCAAGAAGCTACATATTTGCCTATCTTCTATTCTTTCAACTAGACACCCAGAAGTCTCTTCTCAAATCTCGCCACCTCATTTATATCCTGTCCAACTCTGACCTAATTTTTCAGGGTAAGCACTAACAAGCCAAACATTTTAAAGTATTGATGAAATTCAAAGGTCTACGTTGTTAAACTAAACAACTACGCAGTCTTCTGTTCTCATTGCGGTCTCTTCCTTCACTGATATAAACCCATCATTATGCCAGAGGAAGGCTTGTTTTTAATTAAATTGATTTTAAATTACCCAACTAATCTCAAACAAACCCCTACAATATTACAGCGACCAAGAGGTAATGAAGAACATGATTTCACAGCACATCAGTTACTCTGTGGTAACTGCCTTCTTATGCTTCCTCTAGACATGCAGTATGTTTATCCCTTCTATCTTTTTAAAGCAACTTAGTTTCAAAATGTTTAGTGTCAAAACACACATTAAGCAATTAAAATGTGTATGTTTTAACTTGACAAATTTCTTTAAGCAAATGATTTAAAGACTATTTTTTTTTCTAGACTAGTTCAGCCTTTTGGTCACTGCCACCATCAGAATATGACTCCCTAATTCGGGACAATGGCTTACTTGGAAAGTGCCATGCATATTTCTGGCAAAGCTAAAGAAAATGGCATTTTTAAAGATAATCAGTTAGCAAATATGTACTCTGCATTCGTCATAAAATTTTGTATACAATTACTGTTACTACATATGCTTACCTATTTTGATGTAAGCATCGCCTTGTATCCTCTGTTCTCTGAAATTCTCTGACGGCTACAGGCTTTACAGGCGAACCCTAAGCAAAATAACACAGATTAAGTTAGCACAGATTAAGTTAGTTTTTGGATGTACATCAATGTCTTTTCACTATTTGCACCTAACAGAGTCTTCAGCTTGTATTGCCAATAACTTCTTTTAAGTTTGGTCTTGTGCTTATGCTTCGAATGGAATGAGTCTCTGATTTAATTGCAAAATACATGTCTCTCCAAAAGATATTTGTGTCACTGATTTTCACCCAGTAAACAATAATATAAAGTACAGTAAATAAGAGGACCAGGCTCCTACAAGGATACCAAAAGCCCATAGAAGAGAACAGTGCTTGGCTAAGAATCTGGTTCTTTAGTTAGATTTCAAAAGAGACTTTCTAATGCTTAGCACCCAAGTGACTGTAACAGAGAACAGCATTCTCCATGTGTTCACAGCAGCAGCTACTATAAATAGCAAATCATGCAATTTTGTCGAACCATGCAGTTTCCAAGCAATTCTAGTGAATTTTGAGCAAATGCATGCTAATGCTTGTGCAGCTAGAAAGTAATGCACAAGCTAAGTCACAGTAAATTTACTGCAATTATTGCACTTGTCTGCTCTAGGATGTCATTTGGATACAGTAAGCAATCAATAGCTGCTATTATTAATGCAGTACAATGTGCATGCTGTTGGAAAACATGTGAAAACAAAGTTCTTCTTCAGGACATTGTGGGGAAACAGGTACATGTGTCCTGATTCTCAGAGACTGTAGTGCAGATTCAGATTTTCTAAACTGTGGCATTCCAGTGCAAGTATTAGATATCAACCTAATCAAAAGGATACTTGAGAACAAAAATGAAAAAAAAAATACTATTTAGATGCATTGGGAAAAAAGAACAGAAAGACTCTGAGGGGGGAAAACAAGGCAATTCTCAGAGCTACTCATGCCTGTTTGTGTGTAAAAAAAGCTGTCTAATTGTCTAACCTGTCTAGCAATACTTTAATTATAGCTCACTTACTGTATTCTTTTACTGATGGAAAAACAATTTAGTGCCAGATTTACCTCAAGCTACAGATATTTTTGGTTAAGAAATGTGAGCATGTACATATCCAGTCTGGACCAGTGGCAACATCTCAAAGCCTTGCTCAAGACTAACAGAGAAAAAGCAATTGTTGTAAATCTTCAGACTTTTCAAAGAGCCTAGAATTTAAGCTAGCCTAAACTTAAGCTGGATGCTCAAAACAGTAAGTTTACTGACAAATAACTTATAATCAATATGAACTAATGCACTTTCAAGATTCGTACTACATCTTTATGCAGATAACACTCAACGTATTTTGCCCCTGAGAAAGCCAACATTCGTTCAGTATTACCAAGTAAACACATTTGGCACTCCAGGTATCACCAGTTACCACCTTGAAGTATCAACTTCAGTATTTTCTGAAGGGAGCACTCCCTTGAAAAAACATTTATTACATGTAAACTTACAGGAACACACGTCAGGAAAAATTACTGCTGTTTCAGATTCATTCCACATACCCCAAAGGGCACTCAGGCAGCTTAACACTCCAGCTCTGACCTACAAAGCACGAAGTAGTGCTCTTGCTCCAATCCAGACTTAGATATATCTATTTTCTCAAACCAAAGGAAACCTCCAAGGACAACAAGCCAACCATTAATACTATCAAAAGGCTTTCCTGGAGCATATGAACTTAACCAATTTAAGTAAAAGCACCACCTCGTTAGAGATTCGCCGCTGGTCAATATATGCCACGAATTGTGAGCTGAGGCTGTCTGCGTCCATGCACTTGGGTTGCCTCACCTCTTCCTCCTCCTCTTCTGTGGCGCAGCTGTCAATATAATCGATCTGATCGAGGTCATGTTCCACTTGACATACATACACAAAGGAAACACAGAGAATTAGATAATCAGCAGGAGCGGAAGAATAAAGAATCCATTAAAACAATGTCAGGAACTAAGATCTACAGTTTTACTTCCATATGGGAAAAGTAAGCCTGAAAGCTCTTGAATTCTGCCTGGTCTGCTAACACTTGTCAAGCATCAGATTTTGAAACAATGATAAAATGAATTCTTTCTAAAAAAGCAGTGAGAAAAAGATATATGAGGCATGTTCTTTTGAAATTTATGCTTGAGGATAGCTTTTTTTTTGTCACTGCAAAAGTAAGTAGATGCCGTGGGGTTTTGTTTGTTTTTCGATAGCAAGGCATTTTTTTTTTACTTGCCACTGCTTCTATAGATTCTGTCCAGGGGTTTTGAAAGTCATGGCATGGAGCAAACTACTGTCTTGAGAAACACTGTGCTGAGGATGCAGGGGAAAGTATAAGCCCCTTTTCTGAGCACCAGAGCTTTCTTGCTCTTAAAACTCTCCCCAGTCTTGCTCCAGACTTTCTTGCAGACATTCTTTTTCTGCTCACCCCCCGCCTTCCTGCTCGTCTTAAACAGACTTCTCTTTGCCTTGCCACACAATCCAGCAACTGTTACTGCCAAAGCCACCTCCTCTGCTACTACAACCATCCAAAACAGCATTCCTCTATCCCTTGGCTTCATTAAATCTCCATCTCAGTTTCGAATCTTCAGAAACTCCTTTCCAGCCTTGCTTATTAAAGAGAAATAATGTAGTAGAGGGAGAACTAAATTAGTAACTGCATTAAGAGGTCAGTACAGAACTGGAAAGGGTCTCCTGCACCACTGGTAGTCGCATGCTGTGGTTTGTGCCTCTCCTTCAGATATTCTTCCCCATGACCTGACCACACTCCATCTTAAGACTCATGAGGCATTTCAAAATGTCTGGTGCACAAAACTCCAAGAACAAAATTAAGTTAGTCTTAGAGGCAGGGCTGGCAGCACTACCTCTTATTGAGGCTGCCCACGGCTTCCCATAACATCATGCTTTCAATTCTTCTAACTTTGCCAAATTTGACTGTTTGAACTGATTTTTTTGGTGTGTGCATGTGTAAGAGTTAGTCAATCCAAAAGTTTCAGATATTTCTAGAAGGTAGCAAAGAAAGCAAAATTTTGTCACAGAGAAGAATAAAAATAAAAGATGATGAGGTGCGAGGAAGAGAGAAGGAAAAGTGGGAGCTGAGGTGGGAAGATTAAGAGTAGCTGGGAAGAAATAGACTAAAGAGATAGAGAACATGAATCAGAACTGTTAAGGGAAAGGGGAAATAGAGAGCCACTGGGCAAGAGGCCAAATAATCAGACTATGTTGGAATGAGAAAGACATCTAGTAACCAGCAGTGTGCAGGAGAAAGAATGGATGAACAAAAGCAAAGACATGGAGAATACTAAAATTGGGTGATAGCACCAAAAGGAGGACTGGACTGCAGGCCAGGGATAGCAGGGATTATTGGAGCTCATTTGAAGGAAGGACTATCACCTTGATCAAATACAAGGGCAACTTGCTAAGAAATACTTGTGTGTTTGGATGGAAACACAAGATTTCTATCTAAACACATTTCTGCTACTTGGAAATACAAAATTCCCTGGCAAAAATACTCATCTCATTCTGACATGGGTCATGGACAATTTACTCCTACTGCAAGTTTTTCCCATTAGCTCAAGCAGCAAACCCCACGCAGTGGAATTCATGATTCCAGAACACAGTTTGAAGCAACTGGAAACAAGCATAGCACATATGCAGAAGCTGACTTATCTAATGATTTGCATATTATCTCAGTCCTGACACCACCTGATTTTACCTTGTAATACCCTTAATATACTGTATACACGGTGCTCTTCTAATGTAATTCCATCTAGACCTTTCCATTTCTTCCTCTTAAAACAATTTACAGCAAATATTCTGGAATGATAGACAATAAACATACTAAGATCACCATTTACCTCCACCATTAGTTACGACTGTGCTACCTCTGTTTTCTTGATATTGACTCTCTCTTCGCAGTCGCTGTTCCTTAGTGATCTCTGCCACACGCAAAGGGAGGTCGGAGAACTCGTCTGTAGGCTTTAGAAGCAAACAGTGAAATCAAGGAATGAACACACTTTTATTTGGAAACATCTTATTGTGCTGCTTAGCTCAGCTGCTTCGTTGCTATCTCTCCTTCCATTTCAACTCTTCTGCCTTGTGCCCACAAACACTAATTTAAAGCAAAATACAGCTAAAACACATTGTTTTTAAACAACGCTTACTTAAGCTTTCCTAAAAATTGACTGGCCTACAGTCTTTTCTCTGCAATATCTGCAGGTGCTTTAAAATATCCTAGGATGGAGGTACTAGAGCTCTTCCAAATAAACAGGCAGGGGCACAAGCAGGTATATGGAGTGTAGCTTGCAGGGAAACTTTATGTCTTGGCTTCTGCCTTTTCTACTTCTTCCAAAAGGAAGAGGGAGAGAGGGAGTTTCTTGCTAGGAAGAATAATCAACAGCCTCTTTCCTATGAGAGCCCATTTTATCGCTTATAAATGGCAAAGCGATTTTATTTTTAGCATTTTAAATAAAAGCTGTAAAGTAAGATTATGAAACCTTCATCTCACTTTTGAAGTTTAATTTTCAACCCTTATTTATTTTCTAGAAACAATAATTCATGAGTAATTGAAGATGACTCAACACTGTAATATAATACGGTGATTAGCTTTTTCTGTTTTGTTTAACGAGAAATCCCTTTTTGTTACCTGTCATGCTCCAATAAATTAATTGGTTATGCACTGTTTTACACATTGCTCTTAATTATTTCCAACTTTGTATTCATCCGGTACAAAACTGTATAAATTGCATAAAATTTTTTGCTTTTCTCAAGAAAATCTTAAGTTTTTTTGGAGTAATAAAACTTACAGTGTGAGAGCTTTATTGCCCCAAAATAACTTGTGATGTTATCTACTGAGCATGTTTCCAAATCTACCCTTTTTATCGTATCTCCTTCTTGTACTTCCATTCAACATAAATAAAACTATAACACTTACTTCATTCCCTGACCATCTTTTGTCTCCACTGTCCACGCTATTGAAGCCAGAATCTAGTGCTCCATACGGACGACTGGAATAAAGTTCTTCATGGCTGTCAAACACATAATTTTAGTTACTGCAATGTAAATATCACTGCAAAAAAAAAAAATCCCAGCTATTACAGAACAAAAAGATGAACAGATTTCCAAGCCCAGCTGGAGCCTGTTCACAGACTCGGCCTATTAGAAAGCATCATACTGCATTTGCTGCATAGAACAAGAAGCTACGTGTTTATAGCTGTAAACATTCTTATCCGTCAGTCAAGCGTCCACCTGCCACTGCCTAGCGTTTTAAGTGCTAATATAATCCAAAGAATTTACCTAAACATCCCCAAACAGCAATCTTGACACAGAAAATGGCAAAAAGTCATCTCTTATTTCACTGTTTAAGGAGTCAAACTTTCGTTTTCTTTAATTCAAATGCTTGGTTGAATAACACCTTTGCCTTCTTTTCCTGAGCCTTCTTATAAGCAATCACAAAATCATGTAAAATTATTATGAATATAGCTGTATCAGAATATACATGTTCTAGAGAATAGTACACAGCATTATAGAACTGTTGTTCGTATCAGAACTGCCTACCTAAGAAAACGCACAGAAATCAGGACAGTAATTTCAAATAATGCACTTGAATAACATAAAAGTACAGCTTTTATTTACAGACTCTGACTTTGTGAAGGACACATCTAGACAAAGGCACGAGACACGTGCCACATGTCACAATACACACTTAGGGAACAGCCACTCAGTTCTTCTCTAAGTTTCTGGGCTCAGCAGCGTGGCCATCACAGACGTCAAGTCTGGCAACTGCTGCAGCTAGTTAGAGCACAGAAACAATGGGACTTGTCTGACCCGCTGCAGATGGCACTTCACAAAGCGTCAACTGTTCCATGGCACTCGATGCCCCAGGGGGAAGCGCAGCAGTAATTACTGCATAATACGCAAGGCAGCCCGAACTTCAGGAAGCTTCAGGAAGCTAATTGCTCCACCCCATCATGACTGAATTGCAAGTCATTTTCTCACTGTATTGCACTCAAGTTGTTACTCCCTCTAATACCCCTCTTTCAGGAAATACTTATTTTTAAACGACTGCTATTACTGTTATGTATGCAGTGCCATAGGCATGCATGGGATTTTGTAGAACAAAATGACAGACTACCACGTTGTGCTGTTTGCACATTCAGACAAGCGTAAAATAAATAAATAAATAAAAACAGATGAAGAGCTAGAGAAGTGGCTAATATATATATTAGATATATATTTACTTTTACACAGCTCTAGGTCCTTCAAACAGACACAAATTACTAAACTCTTACACCTGCATAAAATTTTGGTTAGTTAAAACTGTTTCATCTTCATGGTCTTGTGTTTGAACAGAACAGATCATCTACCTTAATGGCAAATAGGGGGAAAGAAAAAAAAATCCCTTTTTTCAGCTGAGAAAGAAAAAAGAATAACCGTGAAATTGCTCAGTGACAATAGAACCAGTTCAATTCACATGGCTGAATCTGGAGGTGACTCTAGAAGAAGTATCCTGAACTGGTTCTAGACTTGTTTGTGTACTAAGAATTCCAAGCTATGATTAAGATACATTAACTCTCTTCATTTCACATAAGCAACTAATGAATATATATATATATGTGTGTATATATATATATATATATAAAAGTACAGACAATAATACAGTTTCTCTCTGATTTTATAGACGTTTCTCTTAAACATAAACTATGCTCAACACCAACAGAGCAATATAATTTACCATTTTAGAACCAAAATGTTATTTCTTTTCAGTAACAGGAGGGCACCTCTTGTGTTATGCAGAGACCCTGTTAGCAACAGCTTATACTCCAGGAAACAAGAGTAACACTTATAATTATGGTACTCATGTTGACCTCCTCTAGAAAAATAATTCAAAACATACAGTGTTGATGAGGAATCTTTCTGTGAGACTATCATGCAAATTCTCTTTCATAAATCTGTAACTCATCATGATTTACTCTCAGGCCCTTTGATTTGTGTTTTATTACTGCGAAGACAGAGGCACATTCTTTTGCAACTTACTCCTCCATACCTTATCATCATTTTCCAAGATAATTAAAAAAAATGCATTTAGCTTCATTCTTCACTGCCTCCCTTTCTGTAACAGTTATAAATCTGCACTCCTGCTTTTCTCTCTGTCGTAATTTAGCAGCTGATATAGTAGACTGTTTCAATATTTGATGTTAAGCACTTGTGCCAAATGAAAGTTTGCCAAGAGTAACAGTTTACCAATGGGGTGGAGATCAGCATTTGCACCTACGTTTTGAGCAAAGCAGTTACAACTTCTGCACAGAAGCGTAAAAATAAAGTAAAAATAAACCCTATAAAAGTAGGTTTATACTTCAGTAAGTGTGCAGAAAATATTAATATCTTTCAAGTAAACACACTTGTTACTAATGTGAGAGCATAACCCTGTACTCTGAAGATAGCAGCACACACTTCTTACTGTGTATTAATGCTAACACTGCCTTACATATGATATTACCTACCTTTTCTTCTGAACTCTTGCTCTTTTACAGTGGTATCATGCTAGAATGCAACATGAGATAACAAATGATATTCTTCAAAGACACTTCCATCAATGCATTGACCAGTGAACAATCCTTGGATCTAATTTTTCAATTTCAGATAGCTAACAAGTTCAAACAACATCAAAACACAGAACTTATACTGTGCCAAACTTACCAGGATCCAAACCCCATGGGTCTCCTATCATAATCAGGCAAATCTGGAGCTATCTTGCATGCTTCTATGTTTAGGTATTTAAATATGTGAATTTTTCCTTTTATACATATCTAAAAATAAAATAAGAGCAAATAAACAAAAAAGTCTACAGCACTTTTCCAAAGCACTCTAAAGACACTTAAACCACTGTTGTGAGTAATCAATGAGCACATTTATATCAACCAATGCATCTTTTCTTCCAACCCTTCTGCATTTTAGAGAAACAGCTACAGTGGAGCGTCACGGGGAGCCCATGACAAACAAGTGGAAGCTGTTTTCCATGTACATCTGCTCCGCATGTAACTTCAGCATCTGAATACTGAGGTTTCACAAGGCAAACGATGTAGGCATTTATAAGCACCGGAATTTATAACTTGGCATTAGAAGAGATACATCCCACCCATGCCCAACTCTGAATGGCAGTGGCAGACTGCCAAAGCATGCTCAAATTGGAAGTGAATGAAGCTAATGGCAGCTGTTTTTGCATTCTACAGTGAGGAGGAAACTACAGGTTTTAGCATGTGCCACTCTTGATTCAGAAGGAGCAGCTTGCACTGGAACCTGTAGTACTGAAGCGCTTATACAGTCACAGTACAATTTAAATTAGCCACTAACCATATTGCAGTTTCTAGCCCAAAGGCTGATGCGAGTACACTATTGCAAAATGAAACAGGATACATAACAGAACTGGGTCCTCAGGCTAATTGTTAACATTTGAGTGGCACCAAGCCAATTTTGCCTAACAGTTGTTTCCTCCCTCCCATAGCTCTCCTGAAACTATAGCTATTAGAAATCTTCAGCTAATATTAGCAAGATGCTCACAGTGGGATTCTAGGTATAGCCTAGAATCTACTAATGCCATTATTATGGGGAAAGCTTCTTCAAATTGCAAAATACATTAACAACTGTTAGAGCATAAACATTACTTAAACTTGTTCTTAAGTAAAGGCTCTAATATAAACTTTTCAGAAAAAATGTTAATCCCAATTCCTGGCTGAAGTTTACCTGTGCAGGGGGTGACTGGAGGGGGTTGTTCTCTAACATGATGGTCTGCAGATGTCTGAGGTTCCGGTAACAAACGGGGATTGTTGTTATTTTATTGCAGGAGATATCTAACCGAATCAAAGGCAACTCAGCAAGCTCTGGAGATAGAAAGTAA